TGGTCCCTGATGGGGTAAGACTCTGTGTTCCCAATGCAGGGGGCCCGGGTTCGATCCCTGATCGGGGAACTAGATCCCACATGCATGCTGCAACTAAGAGTTTGCAGGCCACAACTAAGGAGCCCGCCTGCCACAAGTAACACCCAGTGCAACAAAATAAATAAATAAATAAAATAAAAGTTAAATAATTTTGACGAATAACCATAAACCTTACATTCGTTACTTATTGTTAAATATTCTGTCACTCTTTTAGTTGTGGGATCCAGCAAAGAATGAAAAATTACAACTTTTTCTGCAAGAAGTACAAATGGGAGAACTTTGGTTATCCAGAGGTAAGAATGTAAACATTCTTTTGTAAGCAGTTATTTATGATAATTTATATTTGAGAAATATTTATGGATTGGTATTTGTATGTCAGATAACTTAACTAACTAGACGTGTTAACCAACTTGCTTCAGTTTAAGAGAAACTGTCCCAGCATTTTCACTTTATTACAGTTACAGCTCCACGATGTTACAGTTAGTGTTAGTTTTGGTTGCAGTCTTGGAAGTGGGCAGATGGAGAAGCAAAGCCAAATACAAGAACACCTTATTTACTGTCAGATAAAATTCTAAGTAAATGGGTTTTCCAAATGACTAAATGTTGTATGAATCAAAACTTAAAAAAATTTTAACTGCTTAAGGATACTCCCTGGATATAGGGGCAATTAAAATACAAAGAACCTTTCAGCTTTAACATTTTTTGAGCTGGGATAGTATAAATATGGAGAGGAAAATTATGAGTTATAAATTAAAAGAAAAATAACAATTATTTTATTACATTTTATTTTTACTTACTTTATGTTTAAGAGCTATCATGTAATAGTTTAGATTTAGAGGTGAATGTTACAAATATTGAGATGATGAAAACAAAAATTGCAAACTTGTTTTTAAATTTTTCTCTCTCAAAGGTGATTAACATTATTTCTATGAGCCCCTAAATTAATTAGCACTTTTAGGGTTATATACTTCTACTATATTTTACTTATGAAATTCTCATCTTGGTTGCTTATTCTTTGAATCCCCCACCAAACCCCAAACCAATTACATAAGAATCTCTGGGGTGGGACCCAGGCATCAGAATTTTTTTTTCTTTTTTTTAATTGAAGTATAGTTGGTTTACAGTGTTGTGTTACTTTCAGGTGTACAGCAAAGTGATTCAGTTTTACATATATTTACCTATATCTGTTCTTTTTCAGATTCTTTTCCCTTATAGATTATACAAGATATTGATTATAGTTCCCTGTGCTATACACTAGGTCCTTGTTGGTTATCTACTTTGTATTTAGTAGTGTGTATATGTTAATCCCAAACTCCTAATTTATCCATCCCCTTCTCCCCTTTGGTTACCATAAGTTTGTCTTCTCTGAGTCTATTTCTGTTCTGTAAATAAGTTCATTTCTGTCATTTTTTTAGATTCCATATATTAGTGATATCATATGATATTTGCCTTTCTCTGACTTAACTTCACTTAGTATGATAATTTCTAGGTCCATCCATGTTGCTGCAAATGGCATTATTTCATTCTTTTTTTTTTTTTTTTTTTTTTTGGCTGTACGCGGGCCTCTCACTGTTGCGGCCTCTCCCATTGCGGAGCACAGGCTCCGGACGCGCAGGCTCAGCAGCCATGGCTCACGGGCCCAGCCGCCCCGCGGCATGTGGGATCTTCCCGGTCTGGGGCACGAACCCTGCATTGGCAGGCAGACTCTCAACCACTGCGCCATTCTTTTTTATGGCTGATAATATTCCAATGCATGTATGTACCACATCTTTTTTATCCATTCCTCTGTCGACGGACATTTAGGTTGCTTCCATGTCTTGGCTATTGTAAACATTGCTTCAGTGAACATTGGGGTGCATGTATCTTTTAGAATTATAGTTTTCTCCAGATATATAGGTGTCAGTATTCTTTAAACCTCCCTAGGTTATTACAGTACACTGGTTGAGAACCAGTGTTCTAATGCAATAATTTTTCACCCAGTTTTCTGTAATCTCAGTTTTCTCTACTCCCTCCTGCCACCACCCCATTTTTACTACTTTGCTGCCAGGTAGTTCTGTAGCCGTCTCAGTTGTGTTTATGTCTATATAACCAGAGGGACCATAGAGCCAAAAGTTTTAAGAGAAATTTCTGATTAGCTGATTTGATTGGATTTATTGGTTGGTTGACCTAATTAACCAAACTGATTACTGTTTTTAGGTTACATTAGCTCCATCAACTTGAGAGGCACTATTATATCTTTTTCTTTCTTTAAAAGGTTTGATACAAAGTGTTTATTTCCTACTTAGTTATATTAAATATGTCAAAATGTCAACTTCTGTTATTACATAACACCTGAAGAGAGGCAGCACACTATAGTCTCAAGGTTCAGAAAATTAGGTTCTGTTACTAATTCTGGCATTAATTAGCTTTGAAACCTTAAATTATTTCACTGATCTTTGCCCGTTTCCTAAAATGAGGTAGTGAGACTAAGTGATTACATGTTTTAACTTAAAGAGAGACTCTATCATTAATTTCCACTATTCACAAATTTTCATTCTTAGTTACTTTACAGCCAATCATCCTAAAACTCATTTTAAAACCACCTTGAAATCAAAGTTCATAAATCTCTTCTCCTCCCCTGGATATGTAATTCATGTTACACTAAATCTTGTTTCAGCTCGTTGATAATACAGTCTATGTTTTAAAAGTCTTATTTAGCTAGAACATCAAGATGTTTCACCTGTAATACTTCATCGATCACATATGTAGAGTTAAAGATAACTCGTATCAGTAATGGCAAACCCCAGCCTTTTAAAAAAACTCAGTACCTCCCTCTTGCATACCCAAATAGCAGAACGTGAACATTTCCAATTCAAGAGTGCACTTTTAAATAGTAATTTGGGTCAGAAAGTTATTTAATGGGCAGCTCAACATTTTCCCCTTTATACTCTTTACTCTTTTTGTGGCTTGTTCAAATAGTCTTTATTTATTTTTTAACATTTATTTGTTTGGTTGCATCGGGTCTTAGTTGCGGCATGTGGGATCTTTTGTTGCGGCATGCGGGATCTTTCGTTGTGGCATGGGGGCTCTTTGTCGCGGTGGGTGGGCTTCTCTCTAGTTCTGGTGCACGGGCTCCAGAGCACGCGGGCTCAGCAGTTGCAGTGCATGGGCTCCAGAGCACGTGGGTTTAGTTGCCCCACGGCATGTGAGATCTTAGTTCCCTGACCAGGGACTGAACCCGCGTCCCCTGCATTGGAAAGCGGATTCTTAACCATTGGACCACGAGGGAAGTCCCCTAAATAGTCTTTAGTTTGATGTGTTTTTTTAGTTTCAATGCTTGGTGCTTTCTTGGTAATTTGTAGAATGTATACTTTGAAGAACTTTAAAATTCTGCTCTAATCTTATAAATCTGTTTCAGGGGAGCATTGAATGGGGCTTGAACATCTCAGCAATGCCCTTTTGGTGTGTGGGCAACCACAGGAACTTCTGAAAGTTTTCAAACACACACTTCCTCCCAAGGTATTTGAGATGCTATTGTGCAAAATTCCCCTCATTTGCCAGGTAAGCACATACTTAATTATCTTTGTGAAATGAACACTGTAAATAACCATGTTGGGCTTAATTACGTAGAAACAGTGAAGTATTGATATGTGTGTGAATGGCCCAAAGTTTTAAATAAGTAAGATCTCCGAATTTTTGTTTGCTTTTCTTGTCTTCAGATGAAACAAGCTTATTCTTTCATGTTCCTTTGACCATAATGAATTGTATATTTTGTTGAGTATTATACGTTTCAACATTTCAACTTTAAAGTTAACATTGTTAACACTGTTTATCTTTGTACTTTCAAAGACATCACAATTATTGACTGACTGCAATGTCAACAGAGGTCTATAAGTTAAATGGTATTGTTAGTTAAATGACCTAATGGCTTAAAAATTAGATATAATACAGAAAACTGTAAATTATCAAAGCAGAATAATACTTCTACTTTCCAATAATATGACAAAACATAGAAATCACTTTGGTAAATTTAAACATATAGGCTAGTTAGTGTTCTCTTGAGTACAAGTTTATATTGGTAAATGTAAGCAGACTAATACCTATTAATAAATTGGCTCATGAATGGATATCATTTGATACCAAACTGCTGGGTGTACTTATGCATCAACTAGAGTTTCCTGCAGTGTTTGGATTTGTTTTAGGATTCATTTAGCTCTAAGACACTACTTTAACTTTGGTTTACTTTTTATTACATTGATCACATGCAGTAGCTGAGAGTACACTGTATATTGTTGGTCTGACTTGGAATCATTCATGTTGGCTTCTCAGCTTTTGAATAAAACACAAAGCAACATAGTCTCCACTAAAGCACAATGATCAATTCTTAAACATTTTGCAAGCTAGTCTCAGAAGGGATGTTTCCTGAAGGTACATGAAAATGTTGCTAGGGTAAGAATGTGTAGTGCCCACCCTGACACAAGAAGGGAGGCAAGAAAAGGATCGTGCATTAAATTGATTTTATGTATTTACCAGCAATTTGAGGCAGACATGAATGAACAGGAATACTTGGAGGATGATCCTGATTGAAAAACATTTCAATGTATCCACAATCCAGTCAGAATGCTATGGTGCTATATAGTATAAACTGCTCAGTGATATTTCCATTTATTTTCCTTTTAGTAATAAAATTTTTTTTCTATCTCATACATGATTGAACACGTATTTTGCTTTAAAATTAACAGTCATAATTGAAGAAACCATGGTTTATTTCTCTAATCAAGTGACCAAGCTGCTGAATCTTAAGGCCTCAACAAGTGTTGCATCTTATTATTTTCATTGAACAATAAGACCTATTTTGATTATTCTGGTAAACAGCAATTTTGTTTCCCCAGTGGTTTCCGTTTGCCAAACAGTCATGACAGGTGGTTTAACATGGTGGCTACTGCTTTCATGGGATTCTGTCAGGTGAATCCTCATTTCCAGTGCAACAGTTGTTGGCAATCTTTCATCAAAAGTCCATGCATTAGGACTTCTCTATCGTGGTTGGCCAAGGAGTCCTGCTTTGGCAGCCAGGGCTTCATTCTGCTGAATATGATATTCCTGAAATCTCATAGATATTCGTTGAGTCATTTTTAAATATTTCTGTAAGCAATGCTCTGAACAGGTGGTCTAGAAATAAAAAGATCCAAGAGTCAACACAAAAATATTAATTAAAAGAAATTGCATCTATTCTAAAAAAATAACCAGTGGGTATTTTTCTTTTCTTTGAATATATCTGAGAATTAAATGGTATTAATGAGTAGCAAGTGATCATAGCTTTCAATTGTTAATACTTTCGTCCATTTACAAAAATTAATATATACTGAATGCTTACCAGTTTGGAGGTACTAAAAACAATGGTAAGTCAGTCCCTGCCTTCTGGACTAGATTTTCTGCAGGTGTGTTTCAATATTAACTGAAATCCCACATTCCCATCTCTTATTCTGATTGTTAAAATGTAGGCCCAGTATCAGGTTTGTTCTTTTTTAATGAGAAACTCCATTCACAACATTCTTAATTTTCAACTTTTTACTTTTTAATAAGACTATTGTACTTAGCATCTCTCAAACTTCGTCATTTATTTAACAAACACTTATTGATTGCTGGTTATATGTTAAGTTCTTGACATGAATATTTATCAACATATTCCACTGGAGGAATTTTATGTCTCTTTTAGCCAATATATAAATGTTTTGAAGAGGATATTAAAAGTTAAGACTTCTAATAGGGTTAGGCAATATGAGCCACCAAATTCAAACTCTACTTTTTCCAAAATTAACCTGAGTTTTCAAGGTCAGATAGGAAAGCCATGTCAAGTTTCTCTAGCCTGGCCATCTTGACTGAAAGCTAATTATTAAGAATCTTTGCTTTGGAACAATGTATTCAGCAGGTCCCAGGCATCTTCTCTAAAAAAGTCTGCCGTAGTTCAGTGTGGCTGTGATATTAAATTTGGCATCGTTAAACTCAGTGCCACGAGTCTGGCTGCTTCAAGTTCCTCTGAGCAATGGAACATATAAAAGGTAGCCTAAATTCCTGTAATAACTAGGAACAAGCAAAATGCTTAGGGGGATCCCATTTATATTGTTTATGATGAACTTAGAGAATTTTTAGTGGGCAACACTTTTCATACCTCTTCAGGTTTTACTTCTCTTGTTGTGAAGTCTTTAACACAGTCCAAAAAGCAGGTTTCTGTAAGTTTATTGTAGGTTCCAAGAAATTCCTTAAACTACAAAAAAATCAGAAGGTTCTTTAATATTTGGTTTTTAAAACAAAGATGTTTTAAATACTGATGTATTTAGGCAAAATACCCTGTAATACTTGAAATCAAAGGTTCTTTTGCTACCTTAAATGGGTATAATATGATCTACAAAATATAGTCAGATTTTCTAGTTGAATATTTATTATTTCCTGGATTATCTTTCAAATTATCTGAAAAATGAATATGCTTCATATCATTTAACATCCATCTGTGGAAATGAAATATAAATAGTTATTTTGTGAGATCACTGACTGACATGGTTATATCCAGTAGTGCCTTAATTTTTTACAAAATCCTTTTTCCTTAATTATAATACCTTACCTGTTTTATCTGATCAGATTCTGGTATTTGTGCAGCCATATTCTTTTGGTATGTTTATTAGTCACCTGATTTAAAAGTAAAAAGTTTGTCAGTTTGTATACAAATTTCTTTAGGCTAGTTGAAGGTAATCAAAACAAGCACAGATTTTGAAATAGCACTGAAACGAGTCTACCTGAAATTACTGTTCATATTTTATAAATTTCTGATTATGTAATTATATGCCCCCCCACAATCTCCCAGGTCATTAATAAGAACCTTACAGTTTAGAACTCGATTTTCTTAATGCTAGCTATGAGAACCAAAGGCCCTATCTAAATCTCCATTTTTTAGACAGTTTGCTCTGTTACCTTGCAAAGCTATGTATTAAAGTCCCATGCGTAGTACGGCTTTATGGGAAAGAGCTCTCTGGTGTCTTCCTATAAGTACTTAAGTTAACTATCCCCTTGGTTCCTAATACAACTTAGATCTGTGCTACTAAAGATCCTTTTACTATCTCTGTGTAAATGCAAAGGTTCTATTAATTAACAAACGCCATCCACTTATTAATCAACAACACTCATGAAAGAGAGTTCTAAAAGACTCTAAGAGAAAGTTACAGGAGTTGTACATTCTACAGTTCAAAAAGGGTAATCACAGAGACTTACCAGAAACTTCTGAACATATGACACTTTTGATCTAACTTGGGGGCAACAGAGAAGTGAAGATAAGGAAGTCAAAGAGTGTTTCTGAATTACTGGGATTTTCACATATCCTAAATGGAGGACCCAGGATCAGTTAATTATGATGTAAGAATGTATCACGTTATTTACTTATTCTATCCTGGCTAGTTCTAAAACAGATGAAATCTCATAAACTGGATGTGTATGTCATTCTTACTAGCTCATCAATTATTATTTAAAGTGGCTGTGAAAAGCACGAAATTTTCATGAAGCTCACATGGAGATTAAGTAGGAAATTCAAGCTTAGGGCAGAGTGTATGCTACTATCGTGAAAGAAAATTCTCATTTTGATTAACAAATACAATCAATGGTAATTCCACTCCAGCATTCCCAACCATGTATAAAACTTTACCCCTTTTGCATTTATTCTTCCCTCCTCTTTTGTCCTTATCCTGTATGTTCACAAGTATTACTGCCATTTTTAAAAAGTTATTTTTTCCACATGCAAGGGAAAGCACCAGTTCTTTTCTATTTGCTATCCTAGTCTCATTCCAAAATTCTGACTGTCTATACTTCAGGGAATCTCTGGTTTAGTAGTAACAGTTATAAACTATCTTTTCTATTAAAATTCTTCGATATCTGCTACAAACAATGCAGTAGAGGTTTCAGATTAGCCCAACATGCAGGCAACTAGTGTTCCATAAACACCTAAAAAGTTACCAAGAACGCTCTTTATTCCTATTTTACTTCACAGATTTATAAATAATATATATATTTTAACCACATAAACTACCTGAAAAATACCAGGAATTAACTGAAGGTCACAATTTTTCAGGTATTGCTGTGACTATCATCATTGATACGTCCCAGGTAAGATACTTCCATTATATTTACTCTTTGCTCACTTAAGTCATGAAACACTGATTCCACACCCTCCAACTATGGAACTGCATAGAAATACAAACCTAATTATTCCATTATTTTCTAATATCAACTTCAAACTTATTTACAGTTTGAGATCTCAGCAGTTACTATTTTGCTAGATAGATATGGGTAGATATTCATTCAGTAAACATTTATTTAATGTACTAAGTACTGTGCTATTTATGAAACCAGCCATGCTTCTGAGGTAAGATGAATCTTTATAGCTGCTATAAAATTTTATCACTAACCAGCCAAGAAACAGAGAATCCTGTAAGTATATCATACAGTGAGGTTTAGGATTTGTGCTTCTGGGAAGGTGGGGTAGATGTGCTTTTCCCTATTCTTCTCACTAAGTACAACTAAAACCCCTGGACATTACACATAAAACAAACATAAGACTAAAAAGTAGAGAGGAGAAAGTATATTAGCTAGGGCCCTTGGGACCCGAGAAACATCACAGTAGTGAATTCTCTCCCTTGTCTGGGGTCTCATATATCACAAACTTGGAGCTGAAAAAGCTGGCAATCTGCAAATGCCAGTTGGAGTAGTCAAAAAGCCCCTCTGTACCCCCAGCCAAAAGTCTGCCTTCTCTAGCCAAAAGGCTAGGAAAGGGGAAGCCTGCCTATAAAACAGAACTCATTTAAACAATAACTGCTGTACTCCAGGCCAACACAGAAAAAACTGGTTCTCATCCCCACCCACATCAGCATAAGCCAGATAGACTTCCACCCTCACTAGGTTGTAACAAGACACTCCAACTCCCACACCAGAATAGTGTCAGAGAAGGGTGATTAGGGAGCAGGGACTTTAATTCTTGCTGGGCATTAATAAGGACCCCTCCCCCAAGTGTCAGTGGAAACTGCATGGGGAGCCTAGACTTCCACCTCTGTTGTCAGTGATGAAGTACCTTTCTCCCTTCCCTCTCGGGTGGTATCAAAGGAGGCCTAGTTGAGATTCAGGACCTACATACTGCCCCATGGTAATCAGGCCACATGCCCTCCTGTGGTGTCAGTGGAGGCCACGTGGGGAGTAGTAATGAGGAACTCCAGTCCTCAGCCAGGGAGACACCAATGAAGGCCTAGTAGAGATCCGTAACTCCTACGCTCACCCAGCAGAAATGAGGAATATCACCCCCACCCCCTGGCGCGCGCACACACACACACACACCACCCACCCTCTCTAGTGACAGAGTGAGGAACTTGGACTTCCACCCTCACCTGGCAGTAATAAGGTGCCCCCACCCCATGAAGCAGTGTCAAAAGCAGTCAGCTAGAGGAGAAGGTTTAAACAAGATCTAGAGTCTCATAACACAAGATGCAAAATGTCTAGGTTACAAAAAAACAGAAACAAACAAAACTCATTCCAAGAACTAAGATCTTAAGAAAAGAAAGATGTCAAACACTGAGATGAGAGATGTTAGAATTATCTGACAAAGATCTTAAAATAGCTATTATAAAAAATGCTTCAATGAATAATTAAGAATGTCTGAAACAAATTAAAAAAATATAAAACTCAGCAAAGAAATATAAGATATCAAGAACCAAATGGAAATTTTAAGAAGTGAAAAATAGAAAAAAACAAAAGAAGCTCAACAGACAGAATCAACAGCAGATCGGAGGGGATAGAAAAAGGAATCTGTGAAGGAAGGAGGAAGATAGAAAATAGAATTATCCAATATGAATAACAGAAAAATAGAATTAAAAAAATGACAGGGTACCAGGAATCTGTGTGACTGTGACAAAAGAACTGACATTTGTTTTATTAGAGTCCTGGAAGAAGAGAAAGAGGGCAGGGCTGTTAAAGTACTAAAATAATGGCTGAAAACTTCCCAAATGTGGCAAAAGAAGAGAAGCTTACACATTCAAGAACTGAATTGCATTCCAAAAAGCGTAAACACAAAGAAATCCACATCAAGATACATCACAGTCAAACATTTAAAAACTAAAGACAAAAAATTTAGTCTTGCAAGATGTCGCTCGCAAGAGAAAAGCGACATCTTCTATGGGGAAAAACAATTAGGATAATAGCAGATTTCTCATCAGTCAACCCAGAAACCTGTATCTAGCAAAAATATCCTTCAGGAATGAAGGTGAAATTAAGACATTCTCAAATGAAGGAAAACTAAGAATTTGGTGCCAGCAGACCTGCCTGAAAAGGATTAAAGTTCTGAGCAGAAAAAAACTGATAAAAGGAGACTTGGAACATCAAGGAGGAACAACATAGTAATAAAAATAGGAACAGGTACAGTACCCTTTCCTTTTCTTCTCGAGTTTCCTAAATTATATTTGACAGTTGAAGCAAAAATTATAAAACTGTCTAACATGGTTCTAAATGTGTATTTTAAATGGGGAGGGTAAAGGGAGGTAAGGTTTTCTCACTTCACTGAAACTGGTAATATGCTGACACCATTAGACTGTGATAAGCTTTGTATATGTCATGTAATACCTAGAGCAACCACTAAAAAAGAACATAAGGAGATACACTCAAAAACATTATAGATTAATCAAAATAAATTACAAAAAATATTCAAATAATCCACAGGAAGGCAAGAAAAGAGAAACAAAACCAGAACAAACAGAAAATAAAATAGCACATTTAAGCCTTAATAAACAATTACATTAAATATAAGTAGTCTAAAGAATCAAAAGACAGATTGGGGGCTTCCCTGGTGGCGCAGTGGTTGAGAGTCCGCCTGCCGATGCAGGGGACGTGGGTTCGTGGCCCGGTCCGGGAAGATTCCCACATGCCGCGGAGCGGCTGGGCCCATGAGCCATGGCCGCTGAGGCTGCGCGTCCGGAGCCCGTGCTCCACAACGGGAGAGGCCACAACAGTGACAGGCCCGCGTACCAGAAAAAAAAAAAAAAAAAAAAAAAGACAGATTGGCAGAGTGCATTAAAGAAATGACCAAGTATATGTTGTCTATAAGAAACTAACTTCAAATACAGTGATACAGACAGAGTGAATACAAAAGGATGGAAAATGATTTATCATGCAAGCATTAATACAAAGAAAATAGTGGATATATTAACATCAGATTAAGTAGACTTCACAGCAAAGGAATTTAACAGAGAGACGAAAGGACATTAAGGGTCAATCCACCAAGAAGACATAGTACTCCTAAATGTGTGTGCCCCAAGCAACAGAGCTACAAAATATGTAGAGAGAACTGAAAGGAGAAAAAGACAAGTATAGTTTCAGACTTAAACATCCCTCTCCCAACAATTGATAGAACAACTCAACAGAAAATCCACGAGGATACAGAAAAACTCAACAACATTAACCAACAGGATACAATCTACATTTATAGAACATTTCACCCCACAGAATACACATTTTTTATTAAGTGCCCATGGAACACATACCAAGATAAACCATATCCGGGGCCACAAAGTAGCCTTAATAAGTTTAAAAGAATTGAAATCATACAGAGTCTGTTTTTAGACCACAATGGAATCAAACTAGAAACCAGTAACAGATAACAGGAAAATCTCTTTTAACATCTGGAAAATAAATAACACTTCTAAATAATCCATGAATCAAAGAGGAAGTCTCAAGAAACTTTTTAAAAAAGTCACTGGACTGAATGAAACTGAAAATACAGCATATTAAAATTTGTGTGACACAGCTAGATCAAGTGCCAAGAGGAAAATTTTATAGTACTAAATGCATACATTAAAGAGGAGATGCCTCAAGTCAACTTTTTTTTTCTTTTTACCTCAAGAACCTAGAAAAAGAGCAAAATAAACCCACAAAGCATGTAGAAGGAAGAAAATAATAACAGAAATCAACCAAAATGAAAACAGAAAAGCAACAGACAAAAATCAGTGAAATAAAGAGCTGGTTCTTTGAAACGACTATAACAGACAAACCTCTAGCAAGACTAACGAAGAAAAGTCACATATTATCATTATCAGGAATAAAACAAGGTATAGTACCATAGACCCTGCAGATATCAAAAGGATAACAGAACTATGAACAACTCTATATACATAAATCTAACAACTTACTCATGAATTTACTATTATCCTGATATCAAAACCAGATAAAGAAGATACATACAAGAAAACTACAGAAAAATATCTTCATAAAATAGACATAAAAATCCTTAACAAAATAATAGCAAATATAGTTCAGTAATATATATTAAAAAAATACACACCTCTAATAGGTAGGGTTTATTCTAGAGATGCAAGGCTAATTCAATATTTAAAAATCAATAAATGTGATCCACCATATTAATAGATGAAAAAATAAGTCATGATCATATCAATTGATGCAGAAAAAGCATTTGACAAAGTCAGTACCCATTCATGTTAAAAACTGAAAATCAGGAAGACAGGGGAACTTCTTCAACTTGGTAATGTACACCTACAAAAAAATCCTACACCCTGTACTACATAGTTAATGGTGAAAGACTGGACACTTTCCCCTAAGATAGTGAGCAAAGCCAGATGTCTGCCCTTACTACTCTTACTGAATATACTGCTGGAAGTTCTACCCAGTGCAGTAACTCAAGAAAAAGAAATAAGACATATAAATTGTAAAGGAAGAAAATAAAACTGTCCCTCTTTAAAGATGACATGATTGTGAACATAGAAAATCCCAAAGAATCTACAAAGAAACCCTAGAACAAGATAGTTCAGCAAGTCAGCAAGATCACAGTATACAAGATAAACATGGCAAAAATCAGTTGTAAAAACTGTAATTTTCCGTGTTACTGAAATTAAAAATACAATACCATTTATAATCACTCAAAAAAAAAAGATTTATGGGTAAATCTAACAAGGCATGTACAGGTAAATCTAACAAGGCATGCTGAAAACTACAAAATGCTGATGAAAGAAATCAAAGACTTAAATAAATGGAAAGACACATTGTGTTCATGGATTGTAAAACTCAGCATAGTAATGATGTAAATTTTCCCAAAACTGATATACAGGCTTAATGCAATTCCTATCAAGTTCCCAGTAACATTTATTATAAATATAGACAAGATTATTTTTAAATTTATATGGAAAGCAAATGGACTTGAACAAATTCAAAAAAAGACTAATAAAGTGGGAGGAATCAGTCTACCTGATTTCAAGACTTATTACATAGCTACAGTAATCAATATTGTGTGATTTTGGTGGAAAAGCCGACACATAGATCCATGAAACACGATAGAGAACCCAGAAATAATAACACAAATATGCCCAATTGATTTTTGGTAAAGATGCAAAACCAGTTAAGTGAAGACAGCCTTTACAACAAGTGGTGCTGGTACAACTGCACATCCATAGGCAAAAAATTTAACCTCAAAGTAAGTCTTTCACTTTATACAAAAATTATCTCAAAATGGATCTGGGAATTAAATATAGAACATAAAACCCATTAAAACTTTTAGAAAAATAGGAGAAAATCTTCGGGCTTTAGGGCAAAGAATTCTTAGACTTCACATGAAAAGCAAACTACATATGTGATAAAGAACTAATAACTAGACAATATAAAGAAGTCTGCAAACTCTATAGTAAAAACACAAATAATCCAATTAGAAAATGGGCAAAAGACACCTCACCAAAAAGATATAGATGGCGAATAGGCACATGAAAAGATACTCAACATTGTTAGCCGTTAGCGAAACAAATTAAAACCACGATATATAGCATTACACACCTGTCAGAATGGCTGAATTAAAAAAATATAGTGACACCACCAAATGCTGGTGAAAATGAGGAAAAACTGGATCACTCAGATATTCCCTAGTGGTAATGTGAAATCATATAGCCACTGTGGTAAACAGTTTGGCACTATGTTAAAAACCTAAATGTACAACTATCATATCACGCAGCAATTGCATTCCTGGGCATTTTTCACAGAAAAATGAAAACTTATGTTCACACAAAAACCTGTACATGAATGTTTATATACACTTTATTCATAACAGTCAAAAACTGGAAGCAATCCAGATGTTCTTCAACAGGTGAATGATTAAACAAACTGGTACACCCACACCATAGAATACTACTCAGCAATAAAAAGGAATGAGGTACTGATACACACAACAGCCTGGATGAAACTCTAGAGGATTATGCTGAGTGAAAAGCCAATCCCACAAGGTTACATACTATATGATTCCATTTATATAACATTCTTGTAATGACAAAGTTACAGAAATGAGGAACTTAGTAGTGGTTGCCAGGGGTCGAGGAGGGGGTAGGGGAGGAGGAAAGTAGGTGTTACTATAAAAAGGCAACATGAGACTTTTGAAATGGAAATGTCCTGTACTTTGACTGTAATAACATCAATATCCTGGTTGTGATATTGTACTACAGTTTTGTAAGATGTTACCATTGTGGAAAGCTAGGTAAATGACACAAGGGAGCTCTATTTTTTCTTACAACTGCATGTGAATCTATAATAATCTCAAAAAGTTTGAGGTTGCCCAGCTTTCTAATCCCTGCCAAACAACAAGGTACAGTGTGCATTGTGGTAAATGTTAGCAAATGTTCAGAACTAGAGTTCTTTTGGCTTCCTACTCAGAAAACAGCCTGAAAAGATCCAAGAACTGGTAAGATAACTTTTGTGGTTAGGTGTTAAAAGAAAACTTTGTGGGAACTTAAAAAAAAAAAAACAAAAAACAAGAGCAATAAAACAGGAATTAAAGGAACCTGGTTCACCAGCAGGCCTGTAGCTGAAAGCACAAAAGGTTATCCAAAGACCTCTTCATGTTTGCTAATTATAATGCCAAAATCAGCTTCTTTTTCCTGTTCCTATCCTAGTATTTCTTCAGGTTAAAATTCACGTATAATATGACTTTTTCAAGCAGAGGTCAGAGAGGCAGAAAGTATGAAATCTTTAAATGTTGTGTAACACTGCAGACTCTACCTCACTTCCCTCTTGGTATACAACTCATAGTGACAAATGATGATTGTTATTGGGAAGTCTTTGAAGAGATATAGATGAGGAGCACCCCCAAATGTTGTTTGTATGAATTTTTTTGATATTGTCTTTTTTTTTTAAACCTAAGTGAAGGCAGTTGTTCCTAGAAAATACTGGAGACGGTTGAGTGAATAGATGATTTTCAAATTTACTTGCTAGTTTGTGTCTTCTGAGTCTTCCAGCATTCTATCTTGCAGTTATTTAATCATTAGTTATGTTGACTGACAAAGTCCAACAGCCATACAAACCACCTGATAGTGAGAAGCGGTAGAAGCAATGTGGCTGCCCTTTTATTAGGTCCTAATTACCAGATATTACAAGCAAATGTTTGTTACTGTAGAGGCAAATATCCAATCAGGGGATACCTTCTGGTTATATCCCTGAAACCTGAAGAGGGAGGGAAGGGATAGAGAGTTCTAGCATCTCTGGCTTGGGCCTTAGGAATGATTACAGCAATGCTAAGTAATTTTTGTGTCAAACAAAATGTATCATAAAACCAGGGAACTTAAGAGAATTGTTAGTCATCAAGCTCAAACCTTTTCTGATGCATGAGTTTCCTTTCTGTTCTGGAAAAGTCGTTGTCCAACCTTTGCTTGAATGTCTCCAGTGAGGCCTGATTTCTCACCTGAAAAATGAGGGGATTACAGTATGACTGCTGAGGCCCCTTCAAGCTCTAAGCCTGTTCGATGAAATCTAAACTTCTGCTGGCTAAGTCATTTTTTGAAAAGCCTTTTCCTTTTCAATAAGTGAAATTAGTTTCCTCAATCTGTTCTGAGGTTACAGTTATTTAGCATATGTGTTATTATGTATTAAAAAATACTTAATATCCTGTTTTGCCATGTAATATGTATGTTCAGGTGAACATACAAGGACAAACAATTCCCAGAAATTTCTGAGTATTAAAAAAAATAAACTAATCAGGATGTGGTGGGAAGATACCCTCTATTTAGTCTTTAGAATCATATGCAGATTTCTACCAGGTCTGGAGCCAAATTTCTAATTCTGTTCAAACTTAGTTTACAATAAGTGATTCTTCTGATGTCCTTGGCCACTATCACTATAACTGATCCTGGCCGCAGCATGGCTGGTACTGGTAATTGGTAATCTTGTGATTCAGGCAAGGATCATGAATGGATGATAAAACTACTGGGTGATAGGTTGGGGAACAGGATATATGCATTGTATCAAAGCATCTCCACAGGTTACTTATCACAAAAAGAAAACTGTCCCTTTACATTGGGAAGATCTGCCAGTCACCACCTTAACCAGTGTGGTACCACCTATGTGCTATTCTTGCCAAAAATGTTTTATGTGATTGATTATGAGGGAATAATTAGGAACAGCCACAATTTGGGACTATGTGTAAGATGACTAGACTGGTCTTTTCTAAAAAAGTCATAAAGAAAAGGAGTAGAAAGGGCTGTTCTAGAATATGACTAAAGAATTAAGATAACTAAACAGTTGTGAACTTTGGAACTCCAAACCATTTTTGAGTTTTAAAAATAAAGACTTTTTGGGATAATTGGAGAAATCTGAATATGTTATCTTAGGTGTGATAGTCATATTGTGGCTATGTAACAGTATGTTCTTAAGGAGATACATGCTGAAGAAATAAGGGTTAAAGGTCATGATGTCTGCAACTTGTAAGTGGTTCAGCAAAAAAAACCTGTATATCTCTCTGTATATGTATATATAGAGATATGAGAGTGGGAAAGAGAAAGGAAATAAGTAAAAGTGTTAACAACAAACAAATGAAAGAACAATCCTGTGAGCCATGTTTTTTGTTCCCGGGCTATCTGTTCTTTATTTGATAGGTCAGATGTCTAAACTGATCTGAACTAACTTGCTAGATTGACATAAAATAGGACTCTACCACATGTCCCTTTACTTTAGATCATTTGCAGCAGCTTTACGAAATTGTGCCTGATTAACTGGCAACCCTAACTTAATCAGAGCAAAACATTCTTTTGAAAGATCACTGCATACTCCTTTTGGGTTTAAAGGATGGCTTCAAGGCCTTAAAGGATGAGCCTATGAGCACTGGACTAGATGGGGGCAAGATTACTTGGGTTTTAATCCCAGCTCTGATTGAAGAGTTGTAAGATCCAAAACAAGTCACATTTTTAATGAGTTTCTACACCTACGAGCACACTTTAGAGGGGAAAGGTCACTTTTTCTTTTACATCTAAGTTTCACCTAGAAAATAAGGGAGATAAATCATCTCAAAAGTCTCTTACAGCTCTGACACTGTCATTATATCTTTTAATTTACATAAATTATAAAACAAATTGTGAACAGATAACTACCTAAAAGCCTGGTAATGAAGGAAATGTAACTGAAATACAGAAACTCATCAAGATTTAAAAGGTTCTCTAAAGCTGAGCCCTTAAGGTCTCTTTTAATTCTAGGATTTCTTCTATCAAAGTAGACAGCTGAGATGTAAAAATAAATAAAAATTTGTTATTTAACCTTTACATCAGATTACATTTTTTGCTTTGATTAATCTTTTAGTAATGCGTAAAGGGAAACGTTTAAGTAATGCATCCTCGAAAATCAGCAAATCAGATAAGGTGTGTTGGCCCTGGTCTTCTGTCTAGAGAGAATTTTTCAGTTAAAGGAGGGTTCAGCTCAAGGTCACAGGGTGGATGCCTTACAGTCTAACTCACTGTCCCAAAACAAGACCCCGACTCCCCAAACTTGGGTTGAAGGTGGCTCAGAGCCTCGTATTCGACCCTCGCCACAGTGATGACTCTGTTCCAAGGCAGGTCCCAAACCCGCTCTGGGGACGCGTTGCCCGGCTCCGCAGCCCCCGCATAGCACCAGGTAACCGCGGCGGCCTCCTTCAGAGACCCTGCCACCTTTCCCGAGCGTAGCTTGCAGCCCCCCGCCTGGAAACCCGGGATTCTGTGGACAGAGAAAAGAGACCATACTTAAGGACAGACTCTCGCATCCGACACCAGTAGGAGGCTGCGGGGCTCCGCTGCCAGTCGAGTCTGGGGGCGGAGGATCTGGGTCAGGGCCGGCGCCGCAGCCGCTGGATGAAGGAGAACACGTGGGAATGGCGATGTCAAATAGCTCTTATACCCTACTTCACCGATTCGTTATAACGCCGGAAACTCTAGAGGAAAAAGCCGATATCATAAACAAATTTTAAAATCCCCTGAAAATTGATTTTTTGATTGTCTGCTTAGATAAAGCTATTTCTGACTTTCTCTTCAATATCAACACGAATCTGTAGAAACTTTTTGTAAAACTAATTTACTTAATCTCGCGTCCCTAACGGTCTGCGGGAGCTACCCTGTAAACAGTCCCTAATAAACAAGATTGGTATTGTCATCTACGTTGGGCGCTCTTCAGGTCTTGGATGAAACTCCCGAGTGTTATTCAATGTTTTAAGCCTTGTGGGGCAATGTACTGCCTTTAATAAAACAAAAAATTCACACCCGTTTTAAGCCTTTTATGTTGGGTGTTTGTTTCCACCCGGAGAGGGATGGAAGAGTACCGGAGAGCGTTTAGCTTTTTGGTTGGACGATTTCATGGCGCGCATGCGTGTTGTGTCTGAAGGGCAGGTTTAAAGGGAAGTAGGTGTTGACCCGCGGCTAACTGAAGCTGTTGTCAGCTTAGACCCGTGACTCCGCTGTTGCCGAGGGTTCGGAAGACGCAGAGGGGTGAATTTAGGTGTCTGATGGTTGCTTCTGGAGGGGTGTGTAAGACTCTTTGGCTGAAGAAAGCTGTTAAGCTTCTTATGTGGGTGATTTTGAAAAAAATAGCATTTCGGTTTTACCTGCTTGACTCCCTCTTCTCAAATTTTAACTCCGCCTCCACATCTGGTAGGTTTTGCACTGCCATCTCTCCGGCTGGGGAGTGCTCTGTTATTGTAATTATTGCTTATGCGGTCATTCTCTTGTCATCCTCACTTTCAGATTAATTGGCATGGTGCATTAATAGACTGAGTGGGATTAATGGGTAAATATGTTCTAGTCGTCTCTAAACCTGGATTAAATACCAAATTGAAATTTCTAGCTTTGTGCATAGTCTCTTTAGACGTTTTATTTAAAAGTTGATGACTGCATGTTTCAAAATCACTTGAAATTCACGTTTTCTTTATCATACTCCCACTTTATTTCTTCTCCCCTACCCCTGCCCCCCCGAAATCCTCAAAGCGGTGAAAATTTTGTTCTGAAGTTTAATGGACCCAGAAGAAAATTCTGTTCATAATTGTGGGACTAGTTTTGTTACCAGTAATATGAAAGGCTCTGAGTTTAGCCCGGAAAAGAAAAAAAAGGTTAAAATACCAGCGAGGAGACTTCGTGAGGTAATTTCTCCAAATCAGGGAGATAATTCGCCTTTGCTGAAAGATGAGTTGTGCCGTGTTCCTCCAGCGTTGTCTGCAAATAAACGTCTTCCTGTTAGAACTGGGAAGAGCTTGAATGGAACGTTATGTGGTATGTGATTCCGAATATTTTCAACCAGTTTTCACTTCTGTAAATCTTTAGTCTTTATTTTCATTTCGTTTTTTGTGTTTCAAAATTTAGAGGACTTTTGATGATTAAATTCCTAAATATATGTCTAGTTTGTACAGGCGTTTGAAAAGTGACCCCTTTTCCTGGGAAAATGGCCAGGTACCCACAGTCTACATCGAATAATACTGAATAGATAGAATGAATAAAACATTTTGTATTTTCTTTGCGTGTTTTTGGCACACTGTTCTTGTCCACAACTGTGATGGACACACTCAGCTAGTGTGATGTGCTTACTTTTCACCAGTAGTGCTGGCTTTTTACCTTCTGTTTGGATAGTAGAAAAGCACAATTTCTGCATTTTGATGGCTTCCATGTCCCAATTCACTTGTCTGGAGCTCCCTGAAAGTGAAGATAGCATACGTTTTACCCACTTCACTGGTAATCAAATTAATGAATATAAGCACAAAAAACAAAAGAATAAAGCAGCTTTTATAGTGCTGCTTTTGAGGGGTACAGCATAACATAGGCCTGCTGTTAAATCAGGCTTTTATATCATGCGCATGTTTTATTCCTGACAAATGATTGTACCCATAGTTTGTCCAAATCCAATAGTGTAATGATATATTTTATAACATTTTATACTTATCTCATTTGATTGTCAGTTCTGAGCCCTTATTTTCCAAAATATCAGATGTAAAAAACTTCATCAGGATATATTTAAGTACATTTTAAGATTTTTGCATGAAGAGTGGCTTCCAATTTAATTAATTGCATTAATATGGAGTTTATAGTTCTTGAATTATATCTGTACAGTTTCAAAAGGTTACATCCTGATTTAAAAATCACTAAAATTGATTCCTTTATTTTGTTAGGTTCATCAGACTTAACTTCTGCCAGAAATTATCAGCAGCCTCCATTAGAAAATCCCACTGTGTCAGAAAGTGTAAGCAAAAGAATTCTTAATTATGCTCATGTTAAAATTTTAAGTATTGGCAAATAATGCTTTTTAAAATTTTGTTTGATTAGCAACAGACCTTGTTTTTATTTAAATTGCATTTACCAAAGAAATGTTTTTACAAACTGTAAGGTAAAGGTAAAGCAGCCGTAACAACATAATAAAAAAAAAATGAGGTGTAAATTATATATCATTCAAACTATTCTGAAGCCTTTTGTGTACTTTATTTTTCTTTTTTTTTGCGGTACGCGGGCCTGTCACCGCTGCGGCCTCTCCCGCCGCGGAGCACAGGCTCCGGACGCGCAGGCTCAGCGGCCATGGCTCATGGGCCCAGCCGCTCCGCGGCATGTGGGATCTTCCCGGACCGGGGCACGAACCCGTGTCCCCTGCATCGGCAGGCGGACTCTCAACCACTGCGCCACCAGGCGCCTTTCCTAGGAACTTTTAATGGGTTCACAGAATTTCAGTGTATGTATGTACCAAAGTTTATTTGTTCATATTCCTGTCATTTGACATTAAGGTTTTTTTCCCCGTTTTTTATAATATAAACAAGCAGGTGATGAACATTCTGGTATATATCCTAGCTCATTTCCTTGTATTAATTTCTAGGTGTAAAATTATTAGATAAAAGATTATGCACGTTTTTTTGCAATGTTTCTAAATTGCCTCCAGAAAAACTGTATCAATATATATTCTCCAGCAAGGTCATGAGTAAGAATTAGTGGGGTTATTTCTCCCCGTCTTTATTTATACGAAGCATTAAAATTAAACCCAAAAAAACCCTGCCATTTTGATAGGTGAAAAAGGCATCTCATTGTTTTATTTTCTATTTCTTTTATTATTAGTGGAGGGGAAATTTTTTTCATTTATATTGCCACCTGTATTTACTCTTTTGTGAATTACATATTTATGTGCTGTGCTTTTTGTAACGGATTTGTGGGAGTTCTTTACATTAATTTCCCAGATACATTCTACTGTATTGTTAGCCTCATTGGCTATTTTTAGGAAGTTAACACCTGTTATCAGCAGATAGCTTGGATCAGTTTTCTTTTATGATTTTCTCTTTTCCCTTTAATGATTTAGCAGGGAAAAAAAATGTGTGTGTAAGGAAGATGAAGCAATGTTGACTGAACCTAGTACTTAAAAAGTCATGGTGTCTTGGCACTGAATAGAATCTTAGAAACGAAGTCTAGGGTTACACATGTGAGCAGAAAGCTATTTGCCAGTAGATGTCACTTATATAGTGAAGTCTTCTGAGACCACATTATAGCTTAGTGACAAAGAATACTGTAATTAATTTGTGATATTGTGCCATGCGTTGACCATCCTTACGAACTTCATTTGATTCGCAGTGAATCACATTTTCACATTTAACTATAGCCACTGAGATGTTACATAAGTTGCTCTGCTGAGAGTACCAAATCAGGATTTGAATCTGAATTGCAAGGTCGCAGTTGCTTGCTTGTTCACTTACCCATTCGTTCACTTGATGACAGCTCGTTACTCATTCAACAAATCTTTGAGTAGCTTCAAGGTACCTAAGCATTATGGTGGTGCTGGGAATTAAGCATATAAAACACACAGTCCTGTCCTCCCAGGGCACAGTAGTCACATGGCTAGTAAATGGTAATTGATAAATAATAAATCAAAAAGTTTATTTAGCCTTTCATTTCTTCCTTTCATATCTTAAAGGATTTTTCTAAAGATGTTGCAGTGCAAGTGTTGCCTTTGGATAAAACAGAAGAGAACAACAGACAAAAAGGTAAAAGGATAGATTTGATTTTTTTTTGGTAAAACATACATAACATAAAATTTACCATCTTTACCATTTTTAAGTGTACAGTTCTGTAGCATTAGGTATATTCATATTGTGCAGCCATCACCACCGTCCATCTCCAGAACTTTTCATCTTCCCCAACTGAAACTCTGTACTCATCAAATACTAACTGTATTCCCCCTCCCACCATTCTACTTTCTGTCTCTATAAATTCCACTATACCTCATATATATGGAATCATACAGTTTTTGTCCTTTGGTGACTGACTTATTTCACTTAGCATGTCTTCATGGTTCATTTATGTTGTAACGTGTAAGAATTTCCTTGGTAAGGATAGAATTTTAGATTTTTAGACATTGATTTTTCTTTTCAGATATTCATTAAACAGCCTTACAGTTTTTTCTTATTATTTTCATTTTTAATTAGTTTTTCCTTCCAAATTAAGCTACTAATGGAATCTCTAAAGTCCAGAAAATGGTTTGTAACAGTAAGGATACTTTTATTATTGCCAACATATTGCATAGGTTTGGTATTTGATACCTGTTTATACATGCTGAATTCAAGTTTTGTATAGTCTTTGGTAAGATAATAGATTAAAATATGCATTGAAAAAATTTATTTAATGACAGTTAAAAAGTAGTTGGTTTTATTTTCATCTAAGCAGTTTTATTGTTAGAGTTTGAACAAATGTCTCTCATTTGGCCCCAGGTGTTTTTACACAATTTTTTTCCTACAGTCTAGGGTTATAACTATTATTACTCAGTCATTTAATGTGTTCCTTACCTTTTTAAATTGAAAGGTCATATTGCTGAATCCCCAAACATTTTTTTTAGTTAAAAAAGTTTTTCTTTGAGTAGCTTATCAAAATTTAATAAATTTTCAGGAATCTAAAGTATATTTTTGTGTTTTGATTTTGCAGCAAATGACATCTTTATTTCTCAGTACACTATGGGACAGAAAGATGCTCTAAGAGCAGTTTTAAAACAAAAGTAAGTTTCATTTACAGAAAATAGGTGGGCCATTTCTTGTGTTTCTATATGGTTCTCTAAAATCAGCTTTATTTATACTTTGCACCTAGGAAAAAGTTTTTTTTTTCTCCAATGTGTGAAATATATATATGTGATAATATGTATAAAGCATTTTTCATGGTGCTGGGCATGTGTAAAATACTCAGTGGCTGTTAATTATTATTATTATTATTGAAGATGTATTGTTCTAAGCACTTTATGTGCATTAACTCATTGAATTCTCTCAAAATCCAATGAAATAGATTCCATTACTATCCCAATTTTACAGAATCCCCATTTTATAGATAAGGAAACTGAGGTAGAGAGGGATTGATTTTCCCAAAGTCATTTAGCAAGCATTCACTGGGCTGGGATTCAAACCCAGGTAGTCTGTCTTTAGAGTCCTCTCTTAGTCACCTCACTATACTGCTTATAGCAGTAGTCAAGTAGTTCCAAATATATAATACTTACTACTTACTATCAAAGGACATTTAGACTTTTTCTGATTAAGATTTGAGAAAGGGACAAGCTTAGCATCTGGATGGAGTGAAGGGGAATGTGGCTACTACTCTATTCAAATGCTTCCTCCCAACTTTATCTTTAATGCCAGTGAAATACAGAACCAACCCTGACAACAGCACCATGCTAAACATGAAAGAATATATCACTGGAGGATTTTTTTTTTTTTTATCATTAGTGGCGGTGGAATGAGATACATATTCTTAGGCTAAATGTATTCTATTCCTAAACCAGAGCAGCCTGGGACACCCCTTAGAAAATAGGAAAAATGTTTACTTACTTTTGAACTCTCATTTTATTCAAAAAGGAAATTTTAGATTACTTCTATAAGTGGAAAGTTGGTATTTCTAATAATACAATGAAAATAAGTATATAACTATTAAGATAAAGTTTATTCTTTTTCACCTATAGTTATCCATGGTATACATATTATACTCTGGGAAACACTAATGAAATAAATATTACCTCCAAACTACAAGGGTGTGATCTGAGCCAGCCAGAGTTTCACAACTGGTTGTTTTGCTTAATGGTGCTTTTCCTTTTTGCATTTGATCAGCCTCCAGTTCCCAATATGTGATATGGTGGTTAGGAGGAGAATTTGGATGGTAAATTGCATTCTGGGATTTGTAAATATATAAGAAAAGGCAAAAGTAAGGGCACGAGGGAGTAGTGCAGTCTCCCAAATTCTATACTTGAACTAAAAATTGCAGACTACATCTGACTCATTTGGAGAGAAAGTGATTACCATTTCCATCCAGCTGACCCCAGGTGGAAGTGGCTGCTTGCAACCGTAATGGGGACTTTATCAACTTGCCTTCAAGTCAGAACTCTCAGATCTGAGAGGGAGAAGTTGTTTATCTACAAGTGGACAGTGAGAGGTAACTGTGAACACTACTCCTCTTATCTGTTCACAGTAGATCTCTCCCCGTTTCAGGATGGATGCACAGAATTTTTTTTAAAAAGCAAAAAACAAAAAAACTAGGAAGGGCCTCTGAGAAGGTCATTGCAATGTAGAGAATAATAATTGAGTCAGAAATATAAAATGACTCTCATACTGGGTTAAGAGAGATTTTGCTGTAGTTAGTGTCACTTGAATTTTTTTTTTTTTGAGAATGGTGGATGGAATTTGGCAAAGTGATTCTAAAATTTACTTGGAAGGACACACAAATTGAGAATATATACACATACTGTTAAGAATACATACATCTAGAATGCACACAGTTGAGAATAGCTAATTTTGGAGAAACAGAAATGGAATGATGGAAAATCTGCCCTATTTGCTACTATAATATGCTGTAAAGCTGTGATAAAAGGTAATCAGCTGGAGCCTTTGAGGAATGAAGAGTCTGTCCAGAGTGTCTAGAACAAGGGTAGAATGTCCTTACATGTGGCTGGAGAGGTTATAAACTACTTTAAAGAAGTTTGGACTTAAAGAGAAACAGCAAATCATTTAAAAGTTTTAAAGCGTGATATATTTTTCTTAAAAGGCTCACTCAGGTAGTTATGAAAAAATGATTGGAAGAGGACTGGACTGGAGTCCAGGAAACCAGTTGACTGTGAATTTTTCAGGAATCTTTTAAAGAGATGAATTAGATTGGTCCTGAGTACATTGGGGAGTGGTGGAATGTGAGGGTGGGAATCATGCTGGGCTGTAGAGGAGTACACAGGTTTGGAAGATGATCTGGAGATAGAATTGACAGGAACTGCTGCTTAGATGTGAGAGTGAGGAAGGAGCTAAGGATGGATCCTAGATTTTTAGCTTGTATAAATGCATAGTCAGTAGTAGTATTCATTAAGAAATGGAAGCCTTGGGGGAATAAATTTCATTTTAGATGTAAGCAGGGGTTTGAGGTACCTATGAGACATCCAGGTGAAAAATGTCTGATAGGAAATTGAATATAAAGGTCAAATTTACAAAAGGGGTCTAAGCTAGAAATCCATAAGTCATCTGTATGTAGATAGTAGTCTAAGCTCTGGAAGTGATTGAAGTGACTCGGTGGGAGTGTGAGAGTGAAAAGAGATGGCATAGGGTAGGGCTCTGAGAAAACCAGACCTTTAAGAGATGTACAAAGAAAGCAATGTGGCTTCTAAATGTTACTCAGAAAGTTTATCCAGAGGTGTAAGAGAGTATGGTCTTAACAAAACCAAGGGAAATGAGGTTCTAAGTTTGATAGCTGCTCAGAGGTAAAGAAAGATAAGGACTGAAAAGTGTCCATTGAATTGAGCAAGACGAGGTATTAATGGCCTTGGTAAGAGCAGTTTCAGTGTAGCATTGGGATAGATGCCAGATTCAGAGGATTTAGGAATAAAGAAGAAAGTTCTAGAAAAAGACTAGAAGGAAACAGTTTCTTCTGAATGGGAGAGTTATGTGCATTTTTTCTAGTTCTTTACACTTAGAAGCTCATTTGCTACATTGAGCATTTATTAATTTGATAATTGGAAAAAATAAAATTTTAAAGCCTGTAAAGTTGATGTCTAGCCTTATAATGTTATTTTTCTTGTTGGTCAATTTAATGTATTAAAGTAGAATGAAAGATCTTAAAGGGTAAATCACATTCAGACTTCAGACAGAAATTCTAAAAGATACAGATTATCTGAATTACATTTTCTTAGTACACCACTCAGCTAAATATATATTGAGCACCTACTATGTGCTCTTTCTTAGTTGCTGTTTGGTATAAAAGAAGTCCCCGGCCCCCCACCCCAGGTTGCTTAGAGCTTGGCTGGGGAGAGAATAGGTAGATATATGGAGGAATGCATGATTAGAGCTGTGAGAGGAAACATTCAATACATTGTTAAACTGTTCTGTACAGACATTTAAACCATAGGATGGCTGACTGTCAAGCCTCAGTTGTGTGGTATAGGAAGTAAATGCAAAAGTAATTAATGAATGGAAAGATCAAGAGGAAATTTTATGAGAGCAGGCTTATTGAAAAAGGTAAGGCTTTTGTTGTATCTTTAGAAGGATAGAGTAAGTTAGGTGAAGAAGGTTGAGAGAGTGAGAAAAAGCATGGAGTCAGCTGTGGGAGTGGCATGGCATAGTCAGTGAGAGCAGTGTGACTCAGGAAGAGGTGGTTTTGGGAGGAAAAGTGCAGTGTGTATAGGGCAGGGCCAGAGGATGGAGTGTGTGGAAGGCCAAACAGGAAAGTAGCCTATTCAGTTGTCTATAAGGAATGATTTTAGATTTTTGAATGGTGGGAAAATGTGTGTGGAGAGTTTTTAAGCAATTAGAAATGGGAAGAATGAAATAGTTGGCTAGAGATGATGGTTTGTACTAGAGCAGAAGTCTGAAGGGAGAAGTGCTGTTTGAGAGAGAAAGCTTGGTGTTATGGGACGATCTCTGGGAACTGGTCCTAACTCAGCTACTTACTAGTTCTGTGACGTGATCAAGTAAATCCCATTACCTCTATGGACCTCAGTTTCTTGATGTGAAAATTAGGAAAGATGGGCTACTGGGTTCCCCCTACCTCCATAATTCCATGACACTAGTCCTGCAATTGTGATGAAATAATTGACAAAACCTGATGACTCAGTTGGGCATGAGAAGGTAAACGAGGACAGAGAAGTTAACTTCAAAATTTTGAGAATGAGAGAAAAATGATGCTCTTAATAGAAATGAGGCAACATCAATGAGGAGTAAGTTTAAGAGCTCTGTGGCCTTCTTCAAAAATCAAAGGATGGGGGTCTTCCCTGGTGGCTCAGTGGTTGAGAGTCTGCCTGCTGATGCAGGGGACACGGGTTCGTGCCCCAGTCCGCGAAGATCCCACATGCCGCGGAGCGACTGGGCCCGTGAGCCATGGCCGCTGAGCCTGCGCATCCGGAGCCTGTGCTCCGCAACGGGAGAGGCCGCAACAGTGAGAGGCCCGCGTACCGCAAAAAAAATAAAAGGAAAAATCAAAGGGTGGAAATTCAGCAGCTGGAGATGGAGCTCATTCCTGTTGATTTTACTTAGACTTACCTTAGGGAGTCTTCAGTTTTGTCAGTGTTTTCTTTCATTGATTTCTTTTAGGCCAAATACAGCACAAAATTGACCAGTCTTTTTTTTTTTTTTTTAGGTGTTTAGTTAAATGCCTTACTGTGAATATGTATCTATTTTCTGGACTCATTTTTAATCCAGACTGCTTAGTAGTGTATTTTGTGCCCATTTTAATAAACTAGGTGACATTTATTAAATCTAAATGAGTTAGAATTTTAAAAATTCTTTTCAGCAGTTTTAACGATCCCTCTTGGGTTGTCTTACTTTGGGAGTAAAACTTGATACCTAAATTCTTAGAGCCTTTTCTGCATGTTATAAATTTGTACTTCTTGACTATAAATCATTGTAATTGTGCCCATGTCTTTTCCACATGCATAAGTCATATTTTCTGAAATATCAGTGCCTTCAAGGAATTACCTTTTTATTTCTTTAGTGTGTAGTGACCTGAGCCTTAATAGATTTCATTAACCAAATGACTAATAAGATGCTGATAGTGAAAAATAGGGATTTAAATTAAAAAAATCAAGAAAACTCACCTGCAGCAGATTACCACTTGTAGGTATTTCTTCTAATGGTTCAGTAGAGGTTACTGAATAGATTTTATTCCTTTTTTATTTACAGAGCTCAAAGCATGCCTGTCTTTAAGGAGGTAAAGGTACAGCTTTTAGAAGATGCCAGCGCAGAAAAGGACCCTATTATTCAGGAGAGTAGAACTTCACCCAGTGGAATTGATTCAGCTGCAACTGTGGCTGCAGCAACTGCTGCCGCCATTGCAACAGCAGCTCCACTGATAAAAGTATATCTGTTTCTTCCCAGATTAGTCATTACTACTTTGTAAAATGTAAAAATGTTTATTAGAAACTGATTCTGTAATTGTTGTGTCCAGCCATTGGCTAGGGATATTGCTGTCTGTAGTTGTGAATTATTTCTCAAAAGTTGTGAGATTTATCTCTCATCCCTGTGTTAGTTCTAGAAAATCCTGGACTTTCTTAGTTTTAGCACTGAAAAATATCATCTTGGGAACCCCTCAGTCCTGGGTACTTGGGATGTTTGGTCATCCTTATTTTAGAGCTAGAAGGGACCATACAGACCATCTATGCCAAACCCCTTAGTTTGTAAATGGGAAAAATGAGAAACAGGTCAGAGTCAGCATTAAGGTCTTAGAGCCAATAGGGGGAGAGCCAGGACTGCTGACCTAACTCAGCCTCAGATTAGTGAAGTATCGAAAGCTACTTTGTTTTGCTATTTCCTTCTTTTTAATTTCCATTTAAGTATTTTTAATTTCCATTAAGTATTTAATTTCCACTTAAGAAATAAAAATTGTATGTGACAAATTTGTTATTTTTTATGAGAGAAAAGATCTACTTAAGGATAACTATCTTCTGCCTTTTATTTCTGTGATTCTAAAAATAAAGGCATAAAATCATCAGAAATTTGGTTTGATAATTTCTCAATACCAGTCACTTTATATAATCTTTCTAGTAATTGAGCATATTTTTGATATCTTTGGATATTTTTACTGTTTTAGGTGCAGAGTGAGTTGGAATCAAAGGTCAATACTGTTACAGAATTACTCAATAAGTTACAGGAGACTGATAAACAGCTACAACGCGTTACAGAGCAGCAGACAACCATTCAGAATAAACATGAGAAACTACACTGCCGTGATCATGGAAAGCAAATGAATGTGTTTATGGAGCAGTACATTAGGCATCTTGAAAAACTGCAGCAACAACAAATAGATATTCAGGTAATAAAGGGATTACACATTCCATGACCTTTTATCACGTGGATCTCTAAGCTAATATTCATTGATTATTGCAATAGCTCAGGAGATTGTAACAGTTTTAGTTCTTAAATAATGATTTGCTTTTGTTCAGAATTCTTTTCCTCTATGGGGTAACTCTGCATGTTCTAGTTCAGACGTCTAGCTCTGTGAGACCTCTCCTTATAGTTGGCTTTTCCTTCTTTTGTGGTATTTCCGTTGACGGCGTTTTTAAAGGGCATTTATTGCATTGCAGTTTTTTGTTTACGTCAGTGGCTCTTAGCCTGGGAATGTGCATCAGACTCACTTGGAGAGCTTTATAAATATACACGTGCTTGTACCTCTCAGAAAGTCTGAGACAGCAGGTCTCAGATGGGGTCTGGGAATCCTTGAAAGCTCTCTAATGATTCTGTTGCACACCCTTGGATGAGAACCACCTAGTATACTTATTTGCTTCTACATTTACTTAATTAAAAAGAATGAATATTCTTATGCCTTTTGAATATGAGGCACTGGGCTATTATAAAAAGAAGAATTATCCTCACAGAGAGCTGATAGTATAGTTTCTTATTTATTTTGGAATTTCTAAGTCCTGGGATACTACGCAGCACTCAGGTACTCAGTATACTTTCTTTTTGAATGAGTGAATGACCAGCATCGTAAATGCATTGGGTTTTTTAAAATAAATTTATTTATTTTATTTATTTATTTTTGGCTGTGTTGGGTCTTTGTTGCTGGGCGCGGGCTTTCTCTAGTTGCGGCGAGCTGGGGCTACTCTCCGTTGCGGTGCACGGGCTTCTCATTGCAGTGGCTTCTCTTGTTGTGGAGCACAGGCTCTAGGCACGTGGGCTTCAGTAGTTGTGGCACGTGGGCTCAGTAGTTGTGGCACGCGGGCTCTAGATCTCAGACTCAGTAGTTGTGGTGCATGGGCTTAGTTGCTCCATGGCATGTGGGATCTTCCCGGACCAGGGCTCAAACCCATGTCCCCTGCATTTGCAGGCAGATTCTTTTTTTTTTTTTTTTTTTTTTTTTTTGGGGTACACGGGCCTCTCACTGTTGTGGCCTCTCCCATTGCAGAGCACAGGCTCCGGACGCGCAGGCCCAGCGGCCATGGCTCACGGGCCCAGCCGCTCCGCGGCTTGCGGGATCCTCCCGCACCGGGGCACGAACCCGTGTCCCCTGCATCGGCAGGCGGACTCTCAACCACTGCGCCACCAGGGAAGCCCCTGCAGGCAGATTCGTAACCACTGCGCCACCAAGGAAGCCCTGCATTGGTTTTAATTTACTTTTTTTCCCTACTTAGTATGCAGTTTAAAAACTTTTAAAAATAAAATTAAAATATAACATTCAGAAGAATATATAAAAATAAGCTTATCATAGCTCAATATAAGATCACAGAGTGAACGCTAATGTCCTATTATTTTCAAGACTTCCTAATAGAGCTTGTCTTGAAATTTTCATGGGATTAAGATATTATTTTTATTGGAATGATTATGGGCATATAAAATAAAGTTTTACTAAGTACTCCATACATTGCTAAAATTGAGTATGCAGCATGTCATCTGGAGAGGCTAGGAGTGGGCCTATCAGAGTGCTGGTCCCCAGTCTACAGGTAACTTTGCTTCTCTGAGCCTTGATTTCTTTACCTAGAAAATATTTTTGGTTCAGGATAGAATGAGAAGACACATTTGAAAAGCACATTGAGTTTTTTTAAGGTAGTGCTAGGTGCCTGCCATTCATTTATCCTTCCATAAATAAACGCATAATTTATTAACTTTCTGATTTTGGAAGAATGGAATCTTTGCTAATTCAGACATCTTATTTATAAAGCCTATAACTACAGAGAAAATTGAACTTTCAGTGAGTATTTTAGTAGTTCAGTTAAGGCTTAATGAAATGAAATTCTTTTTGAAGAGTGATCTCAACACACTTTTAAGAATTCTGTAAAACTATAAATCTTTTCGGTTTTTCTTTGTCTAGCATAAAACTCTTTTAAAATCCGTTTTATTAGTTAAGATACTTACACATTTCAGATGTTTTAATAGTGTTAAAACTGTGTTGTCACTATAGTTTCCATTTATACGTAAATGCATAAATTACTGCTGCTACTATGCGCGGCTACTATTTTATTTGAGTGCTTTCTGTCAATGGTTTTTAAACCATTAATTAAAATAAAATCTTACCATCCAGGATATAAAAGATGAGATGTTTTGGTTTTAAATTCTCTGGTTTAAGTAGAGGTCTAGGGCTAGGGTCCCTTCTTCCTGGTCCTCTCCTACCCTGCTTCAGTGTCTCTTGAGCCATCTCTGAGGTGGAAAGGAAGAAACGGAGGTTTAGAATAAATTAAATGATCAGGGCCACACTGCAGAGCCAGACTTAACCCAAGTGCTATTATATGCTTCCAGTGGCATTGCTGCTGCAGTAGATATTTGCATGTAATGTATGTATTTTCATTGTTTATTAAATCTAATAGATTGTTTTCAAGTCTTCTAATAAATTCAAAGTATTTTGTCATCTAACTCTTTCAAATGATATTTGAAATTAACAAAGTAATTTTATGTTTTCTAGACTCACTTCATTAGTGCTGCACTCAAGACTAGTAGTTTTCAGCCCGTTACTGTGCCCCCTTCTAGAGCAGTGGAAAAGTATTCTGTAAAACCAGACCATTTGAATTTTGGTAGCAGTAATCTATCTTCACATAACACCTTTGCTTCCAAACAAGGTAAAAATATGTAGTTTTCTATGAATAAAAAATGCCAGCTATGAATGTTCTTTGCAGTATATAAGCTGAAAACTTACTTACAAGGTTGTGAGAGACTCTTTGTTTTATAAAATTAGGTTTTGGTTTTTTTTTAGGTCAGGTAAGTTTTAGATTATTTTGAAACTTGTTCAGTCAAGTTATGGATCATGTTCTACTTAATGGTTTTAATTAATAACTTTCATAAATTGTCAGAAGCACTTCTATATAAATTTAGAAAAATTTTACTTATCTAGCATCAAAAATGCTTGTCATCAATTCACCAATTTTCTGACAAACTGGATATTTGCTGTTTTCTTGATTCTGTCAGGGGAGAAACCATCTGAGTACAATTAGAAACTATTTCTAAATATTTTCAAAGAGTTAGTAATGCAAGTCTATTTTAATGGAATTTTAAAAATCTCTTTATAAAAACAAAGGAATACATAGCTTATTTGTGTTAATCCTTTGGAATTTAAACTATATCAATAAATGTATCTCCAAATTATTGATATTTGAATAATGAACTAATGAAAATCAAGGGCCTATCCCTTTAATGATATACAGATCCATGGAGTACAATATTCCTGACATTTGATTTGTTAGAACATTGTTGGATTACAGACATGTTAAAGGTTCCTTATACTTGCAAGGTGCTTTACGTTTCCCCCAAATGAGTGGGTCTTACAAAACTTTTGTGAAGTGATGTGAATCAGTTTTTAAGTTGTAAAGGGAGGAAGATGAAGCCCAGAAAGGTTATGACTGCCTGCTCAAGGTCACCTGGCTTGAGAGTGAAAGTGTCAGAGCTACAGCCGGAACTCAGGTTTCCACGCTCACCGTTCATAGTTGTCTAATGTATTTTGTACTCTAAAGTGGGATCTCTCTAGATCAAAGTATATAAAAATTTTAAGACTTGCTATACTTAGCACCAGATGGTCTTACCAGTTTTCATTGCCACGAGCAGTGTCTGGCTATGCCATTTTTCACCACAACTTGAATAGCACTGAATATTGTCATATTTTTTTCTTATTTATTAGGTATAAGTATAAAGTGTTTATAGTTTGTATTCTTCTGATTCTAGTGAGGATGAACTTATTTCTATATATTTGTTAATAATTTGAGTATCCTATATGATTTTTGTTTTATTTTTAAAATATGGGGAAGAGTAATATTACAATTTAAACGTTTTTAAAAAGTAAGTTAAATTTATTATTTTCTTTATTTTCTATTGAAGCACCTTCAATAGAGGTTGAAGATACCAATTTTGATAAACAGAAATCTCCTTTGGAGACACCAGCACCCCGCAGATTTGCTCCTGTACCTGTTTCAAAGGATGATAAAATATCAAAGAGGGAAAATCCTACGGATAAAAAAGAAAATATGGAGATATCACATCATACAGGTAATAAAGCAATTATAATTAGCACCCACTACTTTTATTAGACCCATCTCAAATTAGGAACAGATTTCCACACTCATGATTTATAATTCTCTAATGTGCCTTGTAGTAACTGAAGTAGGATCTCTATTTTTAATATTTGTATTTAAATGATACTTTCTGGGCAAATCAAGCTTCTTTAGGTTCTTTGTAGAAGGAGTTGGAGATATACCTTTATAATTGTTCTGACTATCTTCAACATGTTATTACTTAAACCTTTAATGAAAAAAATTTGTTATTAATAAATAAAAAATAATGCTTTATAGAAGGTAAGGTTGATTATCATGTTTACTTATATTGTTTTTAAGTGTGAATTAAATACTAAAACTCAGAGAATTTTAACATTTATTATTGTGTTCAATTGGAAAAAGTGCTAATAACCTTTATAAGTGACAGGAAATAATAATTTGTTATAGACACTTAAAATATAGCCTTTCTAGTAAAAGTAAGTAAAAATGTTAAATATAAGCTTTCATTTTTGGAGTCATTTAAATGCATTCCAGTCTTGTCTTGGACACATTTAAAGAATCTTAAGGAATTTAAAAGATAATAAAATCTTTAATTAATAAACTAACCTCACCAAAAAAAAAAAAAAGTTTGTTATGTAGTCTCATTAAAGATGAGGCTAAAAGGAGGATTCAACCAATAGTTGTTGTGAAGAAATAGTTAAATCTCCCTTTCACTGTTTATAAAAATAGTTACAGGGCTTCCCTGGTGGCGCAGCGGTTGAGAGTCCACCTGCCGATGCAGGGGACACGGGTTCGTGCCTCGGTCCGGGAGGATCCCACATGCCGCGGAGCGGCTGGGCCCATAGGCCATGGCCGCTGAGCCTGTGTGTCTGGAGCCTGTGCTCCGCAGCGGGAGGGGCCACAGCAGTGAGAGGCCTGCGTACCGCAAAAAAAAAAAAAAAAAAAAAAGTTACAGTTTACTGGGCTTTGTGATGATGTTACTTCTCGTTCAAATTCCTTTTTTCTGTGATGGAAATAAATTCAGGCCTAAAATTTTACCAGTATAGTTTCCTTGAGTTATAAATATTTAGTTTTATTGATGAATGTATGTGTAGTCTACATTGTAAATTGAGTAGGTCATCACCACATGAAACTAATTTAGTACAAATATATGTGAGATAGTATATAAAAGAGAAATGAATTAGTACTTGAAAAATGATATTGTATTTCTTCTATTGTAGAAAATGTAGGACTATTGGAACAAATTTTGAATAGCTATGATTCTTTGACAAGAATAAGTGAATCTTCAGACAAAAACTTACTAACTAGATCAAAAATAGGATGGAATCCTGAGAGGAGAAACAGGTAAAAACAAGAGATTGGAATAAAAGCTACATTGAAAAGAGCTTTGTTTATATTTTTAAAATTTCTTTAGAAATTTTAGTGAATTTAAAACATTGCTTTTAAAAATTGTCTTAGATTTAGTTACTGTTTTCTTCTGCTAATAGATCTTTCCTCTTTTCTATAATATAGTTATGAATACATCTAATTTTCTCAAACTGTGGATTATTTACTGTTCATTTCTGATGAAATGATATCTGGGATTTGCTTCAATAATAATCCATTGCAGGGGCTTCCCTGGTGGCACAGTGGTTAAGAATCCACCTGCCAACACAGGGGACATGGGTTCGAGCCCTGGTCCGGGAAGGTCCCACTTGCCGTGGAGCAACTAAGCCCGTGCACCACAACTACTGAGTCTGCGCTCTAGAATCTGCAAGTCACAACTACTGAAGCCTGAGCACCTAGAAGCCCGTGCTCTGCAACAAGAGAAGCCACCACAATGAGAAGCCGGTCCACCGCAACGAAGAGTAGCCCCTGCTCACCCCAACTGGAGAAAGCCCGCATACAGCAACGAAGACCCAACACAGCCAAAAATAAAAAAATAAAAATAAAATAAATTAATTTAAAAAAATCCATTGCAGGGTGGGGAAAACTGGGTTGGAAGTATAAATGAAATGAGAATAGCCATAAGTTAGTTATTTTTGTAGTTGAATAAAGGTATATAGAGGTCATTATACTATTCTTTCTACTTTTGTGTATGTTTGAAACTTTACATTATAAAGAGTTTTTAAAAAGTCAAGTAAATCTAAGCCACTATAATTTTTTTTGAATGTCATGAAAACTACAATAATAAAAACTAAACGTGTCACATTTTGCATAATCTCATAAGAAGACATTACAATTTTAGTCCATTACATTTAATGTAATTACTGATAAAGTAAGATTTATGTCTGTCATGTTGTTATATGTTTTTTTATATCTTAGGTCTTTTTTTATTCCACTATTCCTCCATAATGTCTTTTTTTTAATTAAATAGATATATTCTAGTATAAGATTTTCATTCCCTTGTTGCTTCTTTTACTATATTTTCTGAGTTATTTTCTCAGTGGTTGCCCTAGGAATTACAATTAACATCTTAATTTAAAATGATCTAGTTAGGATTAATACCAATTTAATTTCTATAGGATTCAAAAACTTTGCTCTGATATAGATTGATTCCCTCCCCCTTTCTTTCTGCTATTATTGTCATACAAATTATGTCTTCTTGCATTATAAGTTTGTCTATACAGCTTGATAATTATTGCTTTATGCAGTTGTCTTTTAAATCCGATAGAAGAAAAGAGTTATAAACAAAAATAATTTAATACTGTCTTTTATATTTACCTATGTAGTTAACTTTTACCAGTACTCTTTGTTTCTTCACATGGATTTGAGTTAGTTTGTGGTGTCCTTTTATTTCACTTTGAGGGACTCTTTTTAGTATTTACTGTAGAGTAGGTCTGCTGGTGATGAATTCTCTCGGTTTTGTTTATCTAGGAATGTCTTAATTTCTACCTTTGAAGGGTAGTTTTGCCAGATGTAGAATTTTTGGTTGACACTCTTTTTCTTTTAGTGCTGTGAATATGTCATCTCACTGCCTTCTAGACCTCATGATTTCTGATGAGAAGTAAGCTGTTAATCTTCCTGAGGAAACTGTATATAATTAGTTATTTTTCTCTTGCTGCTTTCAGGATTCTCCCTGTGTCTTAGGCTTTTGACAATTTGACTATGATGTAGCTAAGTGTGGCTCTCTTTGAGTTTATCTTCCTTAGATTTTGTTGATCTTCTTGGATGAGTGGATTAATACTCATTAAATTGGGGAAGTTTTTGGCCGTTATTTCTTTACACAGTTAAATAGTGCACATGACCTTTTTTTTCTCTCCAAGGGCTATGTTGTATGCTTGATGATGTTCCACAGGTCTCTGAGACTTTTAATTTTTTTCATTCTTTTTTTCTTCTGTTCCTCAAACTGGATAATTTCAATTAATCTATCTTTAAATTTGCTGATTCTTTCTTTTGCCAATTTGAATATGCTGTTTAGCCCGTCTACTGAATGTTACATTTCAGTTATTGTATTTTTCAACTCTCAGAATTTCTATTTTTTTAAAAATAGTTTTTATCTTTATTGATATTCTTTGATGAGACTTCATTCTTTTAGGTTCCTTTTTGGCCGTGTCGTGCAGCTTGCAGGATCTTAGTTCCCTGAGCAGGGGTTGAACCCAGGCCCTCGGCAGTGAAAGCACGGAGTCCTAACCAGTGGACCACCAGGGAGTTCCTGAGACTTCATTCTTATACTTTCTTTTAATTGTAGTAGCTCATTTATGTTCTTTTTCTAGTAAGTCCAATATTTGGGCTTCCTCAAGGACAGTTTCTACTGACTATGCTTTTTCCTGTGTCTGAGTTATACTTTCCTGTTTCTTTGTGTCTCACAACATTTTTGTTGAAAATTAGACATTTTAATGTGCCAGTTCTGGAAATCAGATTCTTCCAACAACTGCCACCCCCAACCAGCGTTTGTTGGTATTGCTGATTGTTGTTGTTCATGTTGTTGCTGTTTGTTAAGTGATTTTCCTGGACTAATTCTGTAATTTTAATTCTTTATCATGTGTAGCAAGTTTCTATTTGGTTAGCTAAGTCTGCTAATGATTGGAAGGAGATTTCCTTATCTGCTTTGAATGAATAAGTCTCCCTGTCTTTGCAAGGGGCTGTGTGTGTGTGTGTGTGTGTGTGTGTGTGTGTGTGTGTGTGTGTATCTACATGTTGGGGCATACCTTCAGTGCTCCAGCAGTTTATAAGTCTGTCTTAACCTTAACTTCCTACTCGCGCAGAGCCCATGATCAGTCAGATGTGAAAGATTAGGCCCTTTTTAGGTCATTCTTTTGCATGCACATAGCCCTGTACGTGCACATGACCTTCTAGATCCCCAGTAACGTGTTGGAGCTTTTCAGAACTCCACCATGGACATCTCATTCCCCCAATTTTTGGTTTATTGTTTACCCTCTTGTTTGCCTCAACTGGCATGACCCCCTCAGGCAGCTAAGATGTTGAACAATTGGCACTGTTTTCGAAGAATGACCTGGGGATGGGATTTCTCAGTGAGATAAGTCTGAGTCAGGTCTAAGGAGAAACCCTGAGAAGGGACTTTTTGAGGGGCTCCAAACTCGTTCTGACTTTTTAGTGGTTGTGAGGCTGTTGGTTTTCTTTTTTTAAAAAATGTTCTATTTATTTATTTATTTTGGCTGTGCTGGGTCTTAGTTGTGGCACGTGGGATCTTTCTTGCGGCCTTTTTAGTTACTGCATGCAGGCTTCTTAGTTGCAGCATGCAGACTTCTTAGCTGTGGCATACATGTGGGATTGAACCCGGGCCCCCTGCATTGGGAACATGGAGTCTTACCCACTGGACCACCAGGGAATTCCCGAGTCTGTTGATGTTCAAAGCTACCACAGAGTTGGGGAAAGGGCTCTGGGAATAGGGCAAGTTAAAAATGCCATAGAGCTTGCTGTTCTTGTCAGCCATTTTCTTACTTAAATATTCCTTGGGTTGTTGCAAGCTTTTGTTTAATTTCCAGCATTCTGCAAAAGCTGATTTGACCATTTTTGCTAGTGTTCTCTTTACTCTTAACAGGAGTAGATTTTTAGAGATTCTTACTCCACCATTCCAGAAGTGCTTTTGCACGTTAGCTTTTTCCTGCTCTTTTTCTACTATTCCTAAACCAGTCTGGCCAGAGTAATCTTGTTTCTTGTAATTTTTGGTGTTTCATATGTTTAATCACATAACTGATTAATTCTGTTGTACAATTTTAATAAGACTCATTTAGAATTCATATAACTAAGAATGTATCAAAGATTTATATAATCAACTGTTTACTGAACTTATGACAATTTAGAAAACTTTAATTTTAAATCTTTTACAGCATTGACCCTCTATCCACTCAGAAATTTCCTTCCTATGAAGAACTAGGAACAGCTAAAGTGACTGTGCAGAAGTCTGATGATATTCTTCATGATCTTGGCCAAAAGAGGAATGAAACAAATGGCATACTCCAGGTAAGGTGGGAACAAGATACTAAAATTAATGATTAGTAAAGGTAAAAATTACGAAGAAATAAAGTTATCAAGACAGAAAGCAAGAGGAATGATGAAGACAAAGCATGGAAAGACATGTCAGCCCAGCCTGTTCCCCTTACAAAACTTTTCCAAAAGCCCTCATCAAATGATTTCTACTTACTGCTCCTTGGCTAAGACTGAGCCACATGGCAACCTGTAGCTCTCCAGCTTCTGTTGGAGAGGAAGGAAGGCGGAAGGGAACTGTGAATGGCCCTCGTTTATCCAGTTCACATTGTCTGCTCTGCCTACCTAGAGCCAACTTGCTCTTATTTTGTTTTAGCTTTCTTCACCAGATAGAGCTTTTGTTGGCCACCGAACTGCTGTGGGCTTCCCAGCCCCATTTCACTGAACATTCACATTAGTGCTTCTAAATGGAAAGAAACTTTAGTTGCCAAGTATTCTTTTATAGCTCTTCAATTTGACAAATTGATTCCTTAGACTATATTGGCATAGTATATGTCCCAAACTATAGTAATAGCTCTTATTTGGATTAAAATATTAATATGAGTTTTACATATTAACATTCTTGCCTTTTTATCCTTTAAGCCAAAAGAATCTCACATTGTGTCAGGGGTTGCTGATCTTCCACAGAATTCCACTAAGCTTCAAATAACCAATACGAGATCCATATTGAAAGATGCTGAGAAGATTTTGAGAGGAGTACAAAACAATAAAAAAGTACTTGAAGAAAACCTGGAAGCTATTATTCGTGCAAAGGATGGAGCTGCCATGTATTCATTTATCAATGCTCTATCTACCAACAGGTAGGACAGGATGTTGGCATCCCAAGGTTTTTTATGAAACTGCCAGTTTACAGGCTCTCATATTTTTTTTCTAAGTGCTTCATTTTGTTTTAGTGTGTTTTAATGTTTAGAAAATGTTCTTCATTGCCTTTGACATGTGGACTTATTATAAAGTTGGAATTTGGGTATGTACATGTTGCTATTATTTTTCACAGATGTTAATTTTCCCTGTTTTTTCCTCTCCTTGGTACATTTCTTCTGGGATCTACATGTGCTTTTCAAACATTCGATGAAACTAATAACATTGGTTTTTCATTTTCAGATGAAGGATATTGGGCTACACAATAGATTCAAAACTAGGTAAGAGATCTATTCTTAGGACCTTTAATGTTAATTTAAGAAAATTCTTTTTTCTGTTTTGTAGAGAGGTGTCAGAGAAGATTCGAATCAGAAAGGCAGTAGATAACTGGATTAAAACTATTTCTGCAGAAATTCAAGTAGGTATTGGAAAAAAAAGAATTAATTGAATTCTTAGGAGATAACATTTATTACAATTTACAAGTATCATACATATTCTCAAAATATTCCTTTTAAGTCCACTGATAATTCTTAATTTCACTCTCTCACCCTTTATACTTACTTAGTAATAAGTTTCATTTTACTTAACATGTGCTTTGTCTCATAAATTATATTATGGCTGTTAACTGGAAAATTGTGGATAATAACTAAAATATGAGTGATTTGAAAGAAAATTTAGCAAAAGCATTTAGAAAAGAAGGAAGTATACTTACAAAAAAGGATCCTTTAAAAAAAAAGACAGCAGATTTAGAAGCATTGGCTTACCAAAGTAAAAACATCAAAGTTACTTAAAAGGAAAATACTCCACAAGATTTTTAAGGTTACTAAGTTTAGAGAAGTCAGTTCCAGCTGGAAAAACTGCCACTTTCTCACCTCCACAAAGCTCATGGTGTATCTTCAGACATTAGCATTGCAAAAATCCACGACAGTTGTTTTTATCAAGGGGTCAGTAATTTAAAGGAAATTCTTAAAATTCTATGTATTTGAAGAAGCAAAACTAGACAGGGTAACTCATTTTTACCTTGGGATGCAAAGTGTTTTTTCCTGACTGTAAGATGTGTGTATCTACGTACTCACAGTGGTAGAAGATGAAGTGTTAGTTTTTTTGGTTTGGGGGATTTATTTTTGTTTCTTTCTTGTTTTTGGGGGGTTTTTTGGCCTCACTGTGTAGCTTGTGGGATCGAACCTGGGGCCTCAGCAGTGAAAGCACAGAGTCTGAACCACTGGACCGCCAGGGGATTCCCTAATATACACATTTAAACACTGTTGTTTTAAGAATATATATCTTTAATGTGGTTATAAAGAATTTATATTAACTGCTATGTAATGCGCCAGAAAAAAAGTGAGCTAAGCGTCAGAAGACTTGGAGTTCATATCTAGTTCTGCAGACGACTAGCAATATATGTCACTCTATAACTGTGGATTTCATGCAAAATATGCTTGTTTAAACCTACAAGTAACTTTAATTTATAAATAAATCTCAGCGTTTTATTACAAAATTGTTTACTTTTTGGAAACTTATTTTTTAATTTAATTTTTGGAACAGTTACTATATTCATATGGTTTAAACATCAAGAAGTGTAAAAAGCTTTATAATGAAAAGTTGCCCTCTTATCCCTGAACATCATCTACTATTTCTCATTCCCTCTGCTCCATAAAACACCAGTCTTTTAAATTTTTCGTTTATTCTAAAAAGAATTTTTATTCATATGTAAACCAATATCATTTACTTATAAAGCCTTTAAAACTGCTAAATTATATTTCTATAGCAGCAGAAAATGAATTCTAGTAGTTTTGATGTGAAAGCATTACTACTTGGATAGATTTTAAGTAATTTTAATTTTGGTTATGTTAAGGATGAACTGGCAAGAAAAGATTATGAACAAAAGAGATTTGATCAGAAGAACCAAAGGACCAAGAGAGTTCAGAACATGAGTAAAGATATTAAAACCAACACACAAGACAAAATGGTAAACAACTCTGTAATTCCAAGAAAACATTCTCAAAAACAAAAAGAGGAGCAAATTAGAAATCCACCTACAAGGAGCATGCCTGCTTCAAGCTTACAGAAAGAGAGAAAAGAGGTAAGATCCTAATCTGGTTTTGTGATGTAAATGTTGCATTATAATTGATCATTTTTTAAAGACATAAATAATGAAATGACTGTGAAAATGTTTTAAAAATATGAATGACTATACAAATGTAAAACCATCTTTAAACTATTGATATTTAGAGTTTTGGATATCCATAATGTAGAAATCACTGCACAAAGTACACAGTTCCTTCCTTCTGACATCTCACACTTATAATCACAGTATTTCAGTTACAGCAGGTATATCTAGAGATCATCTAGTCCAAAAATTAGATCCTCTAGTTCATGGTATTCAAAATTGTATTTCATCTTTGTATGTTGTATATGTGTGTGTGTGTGTGTGTGTATCAATTTTAGTTTGTTAATTTTTCAGTTTAACAAATGTCTGTTTAGTGCCTAGTGATCGGGAGGCATGGTACTAGATCCTAGAGGGAATTTTTTGGCTGTTCTAACTAAGCGGTAACTTTGTTAATGCCAAACATGGATTGTTGGGCAGGTTCATAAAGCATCTGATTAATTCAGTACTAAGTACTTAATAGATGCTCAATAAATTCTACCTTTCTGTGGCATTTAGATTATGATTGAAGGTGAGATCAGGAATGTAGGAAATTATTTAAAGACTTGATTTATGTTATTTTACTGTACTTGACAGTTATTACTTTCATATGTAAAATGTATTTAAGCTTACTTTTTGGTGCTGATAATATGCTTAGTAGTGTAAGAACCTTCATGTTTTTTGGGTGGATGATTTTTGTATTTAATTTTTATGCTTTGGAAAACTTTACAACTGTAGTTTGAGAACTATCTCAAGACTTTAAGAGCCATTCAACATAGAGGACTTTCCTGACCTGATCATTCTTAATATAGTACTTAAGCTGGCAAAAGGAGTTTTTAGAAAAATGAGATAAGTGTTTGATGACTATTTTGCTGGTGAGTTGAATAACTTTGTGTACTTAGGGGTTTTTGAAAGCAACCACAGTGGTACAAGACAAGGATTATATGTTACAAATCTATGGAAAACCAGTTTATCAGGGTCATCGCAGCACTCTTAAAAAAGGACCATATCTGAGATTTAATTCTCCATCTCCTACGTCCAGACCACAGAGACCAAAAGTAATAGAACAAGTTAAAGGTAAGGAACCTCAGTTTTTGGTGATAAAACTCATTTTTTGTGGTATTGATTTAATATGTAAAGTTTAATTTTTGCTTTTTCTTACTTACAAATACTGTTCAAATTATGTAATGCTTAGGGATGGAAACATTTCCTTTTAGGAAAGTAGGGAAAAATAGACCAGATTCAAGATAGGATCAGTGGGGAAAAAATAGGATTAGATGGTATCTTCAGATAAAGCATGATAAAATTTATGAGATGATGACTTTTAAGCAATTTAAATTATAATCTAGGGAACGTAGACATTTCCTTGCAAAGCTTACTCCATCACATTCTTTTTTTTTTTTTTTTTTTTCTTTCTTTTTGCGGTACGTGGGCCTCTCACTGCTGTGGCCTCTCCTGTTGCGGGGCACAGGCTCCGGATGCGCAGGCCCAGCGGCCATGGCTCATGGGCCCAGCCGCTCTGCGGCATGTGGGATCCTCCCGGACAGGGGCACGAACCCGCGTCCCCTGCATTGGCAGGCAGACTCTCAACCACTGTGCCACCAGGGAAGCCCCATCACATTCTTTATGAACAGAAAGATAAGCCATATGCTGTACATTATCATAAAAGTGCTTATGGGCACTTTTGCAGTTTGGTTTGTCCTCAAAGAGCCTTAGTTAGCAAAGGGGAAAATTTTTTGTTACTTTTGTACACAACTAAAAATATCTTTATTTATCACTATATGTTTTGACTCACACCTACCATTTCACTAGTATATTTAAATATAACTCTTAGTTAAATATTGAGTCCGTTGACTTTGGTTACATTTTGAAGTTTCTCAACTTGTGCTTTAGCAGTCTGTAAGGCACTTTGACAACATGCCGTCACTCATGGATCCCAACTCATTTTCCTTTCTGATCCTTTCTGGAAGTTGGAGCTGTGGCAGTTGCTTTATTTTTCCTTCCTTTCCTTTCCAAAAGTTAGTTGATCATATAGGGTGTCAGTTTATCTAGAAATCCTATAGATTTTATTTTACTAGGCTTGTGGATGATATTTACCTTAATGTTTCCTTGTTTCTTAGACCTTGCTATTGACTTATATTTGGGGTTTGGTAAGCCTTTGCAAAAAAATAAGTTAAGGTTTTAAAATACTTTTAAATCCAAAAATCACTTTATGAAGTAACCCTTTTAATGGTAGAAGTGATTGAGAACCTATGGACCCAGGCTCCTCCTTGGGCCTTGGTGCCTGTTATTCCCTCTGCCTGGAGGGCTTTTCCCTCAGACCCTTGCATGGCTCACTCAGTTCTTTCAATCTCTGCTCATAGCTGTTAGCTCCTCAGAGAGGTCTATGTTGACCATCCTATCCAAAATGTTATCATCTAACCCTCTCTATTCCCTTGCTCTGCCTGTTGTTCCTCATAGCACTTTTCACCATCTGACATTATACTTTTATTTGTTTATCAATTTTTTTCCTTACTAGAGTGTAAGCTACATGAATACAGTTGGTTTATTCAGTACTTGTAGTCCCTGTGTCTGGAATGATGCCAAACACATTTTAAATGCTGAAAAAATATATTTTAAATAAACATTCAAGGGGCTTCCCTGGTGGTGCAGTGGTTAAGAATCCACCTGCCAGTGCAGGGGACATGGGTTCAAACCCTTGTCCGGGAAGATCCCACGTGCCGCGGAGCAACTAAGCAACTAAACCCGTGTACATCTGACTTTGATATTGTTTCTAAAAAATCTTTAAATACATTTTTTAAATCTTTAAAAGCATTAAAACTGCTTACTATGATGTTACTATTAGACACTATCTACATTCACTTCCCCCTCTGCCTTTAAGTTTCTGAGTGTTAGCAGTGAGAGAAGTTACTGCTAGGCACCTTTCAGATTCCATATAGCACCTACAGTACAAACATGGAAGCAGAGGTGTCAGTACCACTGCAGAGATCCCCTCCATTGAAGAACCATTTGTTTGTAGCAAGTAAATTAAATGGCAGTCTTCTCTGAGGTGGTTGCCTGGAAGCCCAGAATTCAAACTAATCTATTGTATTATAGTAAGAAATAAGCAACAGCATCCCTTTCAGACTAAACAAAACTGGGTGGAAACAGAAAAAGAAAAAGAAAACCTACCTTAGGTCTAGCTAGGGTTCAATTAAAAAGTTTTTTACAAATACCTTTTATGTGTCCATTATTATTATACTAGGTATTGTGAAGGCCACAAAAAGTAAGACATTGTCTTAATCCTCTTAAACTGGAGGACTTCCCTGGTGGCACAGTGGTTAAGAATCCGCCTGCCAACGCAGGGGGACATGAGTTCGATCCCTAGTCCAGGAAGATCCCACATACCATGGAGCAACTAAGCCCATGCACCACAACTACTGAGCCCGTGTGCTGCAACTACTGAAGCCCATGCACCTAGAGCCCATGCTCCACAACAAGAGAAGCCACTGCAATGAGAAGCCCATGCACCACGACGAAGAGTAGCCTCCGCTCACCACAACTAGAGAAAGCCCACACGCAGCAACAAAGACCCAATGCAGCCAAAAATAAATAAATAAATTTATCAAAAATAAATAAACATTCAAGAAAAATATTCCTTCAATTGAATGAATGAATACTTGAGAACATGATGAAAAAAATATATAGATGTGATACTAAAATTTTTCTTCCTCGGATCATAAAACTATATTTAAAAGTCTAGATTTATAAAACTACTCTTATATTAAAAGTAAAAATGTAGAAATGTCAGGTATTTATTTATCAATAGAGGAGATTTTAGTTTCTTTTCCTTTACACTTTTAGTTTTCTTCACTTTTCTCAGGTTCCACAGAAATTTATGTTCTTCTCCAGAGAGACAGATAATCAGAAAAACTTCTAATTATTTAAGAATTCAGGATTTAATATCTATATAGGTTTACTAAATAGTGATTAAAAATGTATAATGTTATTAACTTCTGCAAGGTTTTAATAAGTATAGAATTTGATTATCTGTACATAATTTCAAAGGATAAAGCCTGGTTATACAGAATAATGAGAGGATGAAAAAATTTTCAATTCCAAAAATGATCATTAACTTTCTTATACTCATAGGAAAAAATGTAACAAGTTAAATAATACGTTCTGAATATTCTTTTGAATCTTTATTCAACATTTTATTCTAGTTATTGTATCTTTTCTATCATAGTAGCTGCACAAGTTGTTACATCTATTCAGAGGTTGAAAAACCATGACCTGCAGGTCAGCTGCCTGTTTTTATAAATAAAGCTCTATTGGAACATAGCTATACTCATTCATTTAAGTATTGTCTATGAGTGCTTTCATGCTACAACAGCAGAGTTGAGATGTTGCCACTGAGACCACACGGCCAATGAGGCTAAAATATTTACTATCTGACCAATTAAGAAAAAGTTTGCCAACCCCTGGTTTACTTATATTTTGGGGCCCTGTAACCTTATTATATAGAATGAGATCTTTCTGTGAAGAAGGGTTGCTATATTTGTAGATGACTGCATAGTAGATGTTCAAACAATATTTTAAAATATCTGCCATTGGTCATTATTATAGGTACTAAAGTGAAGTCAATAAGAACACAAACTGACTTTTATGCAACAAAACCTACAAAGACAGATTCTAAACTGCAACATACCATAACTACACTGTCTCCTGGTGAGCAGCAGTATTTGTTCAGCCCAAGCCGGGAAATGCCTACTTTTTCAGGTACACTGGAAGGTCATCTAATTCCTATGGCAGTTCTTTTAGGTAAGACACAACAAAATATATGGGGTAAATTTTAGAATTCTAATCAGCAATAGCAGAAATTACAAAGTGATACTGACATAGTAGTCACCTACCTTTTCCTTTATGTGTTGTTTGTATTTGTGAGTAGGACCTCAGAATGTGTCTTACTTGTGTAGTAGCAGTCTCTGAAATGATGCTATATTTTCACTTACAGGAAACATTCTTTTGGTATTTTATAATATATTTCTGTAGATGAAATGAAATTAAAATAATGTTTAGACATGTCATAGATATTCATAATAATTAAAGAACTTGAGGATTTTGATTGGTTTAATATCATCATATCTTAGGAGAAAGTACTTTGAATTACCTTCTATATACTTTTGCACTAGGCCGTGATAAGTAAAAATTATGTAGTTGTGTGTTCTAAGCTAATAGTTTGTTATTAACTTATTTGAGGCCTCTCAGATCCATCATTGTAAAAGTTGAGCAAATAATTTTTGTTCTCACACTAGCTCTTCAAATTTTGATAGCTATTTTTTTCTTTAAATATCACTGCGATTCTTAATTTTGGTGAATTATTTAAATGTGAATATTTTTCAACATAAGAGAATTTTTTATTTTTGATATTACGTGTTAATGGCATGTCAACTTGGTAGCTGTCTGTTCAAACATGTCTTCTACTAAAATAATAGCTGATACTTATAAAGTCCTTACTGTGTGCCAGGGACAGATCTAAGCACTTTATATATATTAACTTATTTAATCCACTGTATAAAATGCATGGTAATGTACCAATTTTATAAATGAAGAAACTGAGGCACAGAAGAGTTCAGTAATTTGTCAAAGGCCACATAGCTAGAGTGGAGCCAAGAGTCAAACCCAGGCAGTGTGACTTTAGAGTCTGTGTTTTTAATGAATGCACTGCACTGTCCCTCTTTACTTTGAAATTTAGGAAACAAGTGGAACTTTTGAAGTGAAAGGTAACAAAATTTTGACAGCTATGATAGTTAGCAGATAGTTGGCCTACGTGCTCTTTATTGGTAGTCAAACACTAGTATTTTGTTGTCGGTTTTATTTCTGTCTGTTGCTGCCCTATGAAGATTTGAGAATAAAAATAATACAACACAATGCAATACACTTTAGTTTTGGCTTTGCCACTTACTGTCATAACCTTTGGCAAATTAAGTTATGTCTCTAAACCTCTGCTCCCTCAAATGTAAAATGTGGATAATATTAATACTCCATAGGCTTATTTAAATTAGATAGTGTATGTGAACTGTTTAGTACATATGAGCACCTAATGTTAGTCGCTGCTAAAAGGATGACATGGTGAGTATGATGGCAGTGGTGATGATAGAGGAAAAGGTGATTGCAGATAGTGCTTTCCTTTCCTATGAGAATTTAGGCATAAAGATCTAGGTTTTATATTAGAATTTCTCTTTACTTCTGAAATGGTTGACTTCTTTTCCCCCCAAATTTTTTAGGACAAACCCAAAGTAATAGTGATTCCATGCCACCTGCTGGAGTAATTGTAAACAAGCCACACCCTGTAACAGTGACTACTTCTATTCCACCATCATCTCGAAAAACAGAAACTGGAGTAAAGAAACCTAACATAGCAGTTGTAGGAATGAAGTCAGAAAAAAGGGATCCTCCTCAGCTTACTGTGCAGGTATTCAGTGTGCATGAACAGAAAAATCTAAGGAAAAAAATATTTGGCTTAACTTTAGTACTTAAAATCTATTATATCGCTTCATGAAAACTGTGCTTTCATGATGGGTCTTTCCTTCTTTAAAACTATGATATTAATGTGATATTGCTATCCTTGTTCTGCATGATTTAAGCTATCTTTTCTAAGCTGATAACTCATATCCAGTTGACTTGATGATATTCCAAAGGGAACAATTCAATAGTATATAATAATTAAGTTTAAAAAGACTTAATGTGTTTGTCTTATATAATTAATACTTTAATTTTATACAAACATATGTAAGAGGACTTGAATGAATGGAGAGAGAACTTATAATGTGAAGCTTAAATATTCAATATGACAATTCTTCCTAAGTTAATGTACAATTTAAGTGAAATTGTATTAAAAACAATAAAAGCCATATTTTTTTAAAACTTGAACTTTAGGATCATTTTGACATTTGAAAGAACAAAGGTTTAGAAAAGTTAAAGTGTTTTGATACTGGTCCTATTTCAGAAATAGCCTTGGTTATTTAAAAAGACTGTAATATGTGATAGATAGTTCATTCAGGGGGAAATAAGATTATTTTAAATGAAATAATGTATGTTATAATTAGTTAGCAGTGTGGAAAGTAGATCGGTTTTAGACTCTAAACTTTTACTGTGTATCAAGTGAGTTCCAAATAGGCAATAGGCTAAAGTATAACTACAAGATATAAAAACATAGAAGAATTAGAAGATAATTGCGTGTAGTCCTTATCAAAAATGAAGTTAAGTCTGGATATAGAGGAAAAATCTTAGTTATGATAGAAAATAGATTTGAATCTATAAAATCTAAAACTTATATATGTAAAAGATTCCTAAATGAAAAGGAAAAACAACATACAGTGAGAACATATGAAAGGAATATGACAGAAAGTTTTAATTTTTAAATATAAAAACCTCCATAAATTAATAAGAAAACATAAGAGCAAATCCAGAAATATTCAAAGAACATGTATAAGACTCTACAGAAGAGGAAGTTATAAGCAATCAAATTGAGTAATTTAAATCTTGCTAGTTACCAAGGTAATGCAAATTAAAATAACAATAATATACCTCCATTTAAAAACTGTTCTGGCTGAAACACTTCTATTATCTAGTTTGGGTGAAGGTTGGATAAAACAATTAATTATGTTTTTGATGATGGAAATAGAGCTCTTCATTGCATTTGGGCAGTAATTACCAAGTATCTTAAATATTTATGCTTTTTGGCTCAAGAAGTTAGCCTAATATCTGGCTATCTAGCATAATGAAATAATTCAAAGTTCAGGGAAAAAACCCCTATGTATATATGACGTTTTTTGGAGTGATATATATCTATCTATCTAATAGTGAATATCCTAAATGTTTACCAACAGGAAATGATTAAATAAGACATGTATTTTCTTGAAATACTATACAGTCATTTAAAATACTATTATGAAGTCTATATGGAAGTATAGTAAGGTGTTTATGACCTAATTACAATGGAAAATCAGGAATGAAACTGTTTTAGATTTTAGCTATGCATAAGTGGTTAGTAAAAACATAAAGGGAATAGGAAAAATGATGTTGTCTTAAGATAATAGGATTCTTTGTGTTTCCCTTTTATTTTCCAAATTTTGTAAAATACGCTTTCATAATTTAAATTTGTTATCCATTGACTTTGCAATAAAAAGTTAAATATGTTATTGATACATAGATTCACAAATATTTGAGTCAAAATGATGAACTGAAAACTGGATGTTGTATTCTGTTTTAGGTATTACCCAATGTAGATATTGACAGCATTTCAAATGGTAGTGCTGATGTTGGTCTATCTCCGTCTTGTCCCAAAGAAGCATCTCCTCCTCCTCCTCTGAAAACCTGGATACAGGTATGTTCAGAAATGTATTCTATATCTTTGAGCAATGTCTTACTATGGATTTTTAACTAATGTTATTCCATGCAAAGTCTTCCATTATAATCTATTTTAATAATTTTCGTTTTAAGGAAAAGATTCAAAACAAATGTGAAATTGCTTTTTTTTTTAATTAATCAATTAATTTATTTTTGGTTGCGTGGGTCTTTGTTGCTGCGCGTGGGCTTTCTCTAGTTCCATCGAGTGGGGGCTACTCTTCATTGCGGTGCGTAGGCTTCTCATTGCAGTGGCTTCTCTTGATGCAGAGTGCGGGCTCTAGGCTTCAATAGTTGTGGCACGTGGGCTCAGTAGTTGTGGCACGCAGGCTCAGTAGTTGTGGTGCATGGGCTTAGTTGCTACACAGCATGTGGGATCTTCCCTGACCAGGGATCGAACTGTTGTCCCCTGCACCGGCAGGCAGATTCTTAACCACTGCTCCACCAGGGAAGTCCCTGAAGTTGCTTATGAACTTGAAAAAGAAAGTTTGTTTAATATCCTTACATTTATAAATGTTCTGAAAATGATAATCCTTAGTGTAACTATTTGGTAACTTAAGTTGTAAGACTCATATGTGAAGAAAGAATTTCTGTCTCTTTGGAGAAGAATCTTGATTTAAATGGGAATTAAATTATAGTTTTCCTGAATGTGAATTTTATAGTGACAATTGGAGTTTATGTTTTGGGATGTTACTTTGTCGTTATACTGTTGACACGATGCAAAAATATGCATTTCTTTCTAATATTTCTTTGCTGCTTGTGATTGAATGACAAAATTATGACTTTACTACACAGCAAAATAGCACTGTAACATTTCCCCAGGTTTCCTCTATTGTAAGCAAACTTGTTCATTGAGGATACAGTTTTAAGGAGAGGAAGATCATCACTTTTTCACAATCAGAAATAGTAAAATAGAACTGGCCCTGAATGGCTCTTGTGCCTAATTTTATTTTTCATCAATAATTTTTTTAACCAGAAGTTTATTAAAACATATATGATTACAAATAATTTTTTGGACTGTTCATCATTCTGCTCTCAGGAATTGTCTATTGTGGTTTTTGGTGACTAGATTATATATAGTGAGGCCTAGAGGCTAAATTTGTAAAATAATTATTTTGTTTGTCTTTCTAAATTATTTGATTCTGTATCTGTCTTTTTGTGAGTTTGTATATGTGTAAACTCATATATCTATACATACAAACACATTTCTTTACCTTAATTCTAGGAGAGAAATCACAATTATATCAACTTGATCAGTTGACTTAAGTTGCATTGTTGGTGGAATCCTTGATAGAAAAACTGATACCTAGTTTTTTATAGCTATTGAAACGATAACTTGGAGACTAGCTTGGATTTCATTTACTAGTTAAATCAAGTCTGAGCAGGATATCAAAATAAAAAATAGGAGCATGTAATTATAAGCTTATGCTATGGTATTATGATAAATTAGGTATAAATTAAAAAGACATTAAACACAACCAAAACTTTCTGAAAATGCTTTCTTAGACTCCAGAATTTATGAAGGCAGATGAAGAAGAGGTGAAGTTTCCAGGAACTAACTTCGATGAAGTAATCGATATCATACAGGTAACAAAGCTTATTAGCAATCATGTGAATTTATTTTTCTACTAGCATTTTTTTACGCGATTTGATTATCTTTTCTTTTTAAAGACTTTATTATTTTTAGAGCAGTTTAGGTTCACAGCAAAATTGAGAGGAATGTACAGAAATTTTCTATATGTTCCCTACCCCCACACATGCATGGTCTCCCCCATTATCAACATACCCCAACAATTTTGACTTGTTAAAAACTGACACTTCATAATCACTCAAAGTCCATGGATGACCTTAGGGTTCACTCTTTTTTTTTTTTGGCGGTACACAGGCCTCTCAGTGCTGTGGCCTCTCCCATTGCGGAGCACAGGCTCCAGATGCACAGGCTCAGTGGCCATGGCTCATGGGCCGAGCTGCTCCGCAGCATGTGGGATCTTCCCGGACTGGGGCATGAACCCGTGTCCCCTGCATCGGCAGGTGGACTCTCAACCACTGCGCCACCAGGGAAGCCCGGGTTCACTCTTTATGTTGTACATTCTATGGATTTGGAAAAATGTGTTCATCATTATGCTATTATACAGAGTATTTTCTCTGCCCTAAAATCCTCTGTGTTCTGACTATTCATCTGTCCCCCCTACCCACCCCAGTCCCTGGCAACCACTGATCTTCTTACTGTCTTCATAGTTTTGTCTTTTCCAGAATGCAGTCTACTTGGAGTCATACAGTATGCAGCTTTCTCAGATTGGCTTCTTTCACTTAGTAAAATGCACTTAAGTTTCTTCCATATCTTTTCATGGCTTGATAGCTCATTTCTTTTTAGCACTGAATAATATTCCATTGTCTGGATGGACCACAGTTTATTTATCCATTCACCTGCTAAACCACATTTTGGTTGTTTACAAGTTTTGGTAATTATGAATAAAGCTGCTATAAAAATCTGAGGGAATTCCCTGGTGGTCCAGTGGTTAGGATACCGTGCTTTCACTGCCAGGAGCCCGGGTTCAGTCCCTGGTCAGAGAAGTAAGATCCCGCAAGCCACGCTGTGCAGCCAAAAAACCCCAAACAAATGAATACAAAACAAAACCAAACATCTGATTTTTTCTGTGGACATAAGTTTTTAACTCCTTTGAGTAAATATCAAGGAGCACAATTGCTGACTTATATGGTAAAAGTATTTTCAGATTTGTAAGAAACCGCTGAACTGTCTTCCAAAGTTGCTGTACCATTTTGCATTCTCACCAGCAATGAATGATAGTTCCTGCTGTTTCATATCCTTGCCAGCATTTGGTGTTGTCAGCATTCCAGATTTTGGCCATTCTAATAGGTGTGTAATGGTATCTTATTGTTGTTTTAATCTACATTTCTCTACCTCAACATAATAAAGGCCATATATAAGCCCACAGCAAGCATCATTCTCAACAGTGAAAAACTGAAAGCATTTCCTCTAAGATCAGGAACAAGACAAAGATACCCACTCTCTCCAGTTTTATTCAACATAGTTTTGGAAGTCCTAGCCATGGCAGTCAGAGAAGAAAAAGAAGTAAAAGGAGCCAAATTGGAAAAGAAGAAGTAAAACTGTTTGTAGATGACATGATACTATCCATAAAAATCCTAAAGATGCTACCAGAAAACTACTAGAGGGACTTCCCTGGTGACACAGTGGTTGAGAATCTGCTTGCCAATGCAGGGGACACGGGTTTGAGCCCTGGTTCGGGAAGATCCCACATGCCATGGAGCAACGAAGCCCATGCGCCACAACTACCGAGTCTGCACTCTAGAGCCCACGAGCCACAACTACTGAGCCCATGTGACACAACTACTGAAGCCTGTGCGCCTAGAGCCTGTGCTCTGCAACAAGAGAAGCCACCACAATGAGAAGCCCACACGCTGCAACGAAGAGTAGCCTCCACTTGCCGCAACTAGAGAAAGCCTGCATGTAGCAACAAAGACCCAATGCAGCCAAAAATAATAAATAAACTAATTAATTAAAAAAAAGAAAACTACTAGAGCTCATCAATGAATTTGATAAAGTTGAAGGGTACAAAATTAATACACAGAAATCTCTTGCATTCCTATACACTAACAACAAAAGATCAGAAAGAGAAATTAAGGAAATAATCTCATTTACCAGTGCATCAGAAAGAATGAAATACCTAGGAATAAACCTACTTAGGAGGCAAAAGGCCTGTACTCAGAAAGCTATAAGATGCTGATGAAAGAAATCAAAGACGAGACAAACAGATGGAGAGATATACCATGTTCTTGAATTGGGAGAATCAATATTGTTAAAATGACTATACTACCCAAAGTAATCTACAGATTCAGTGCAATCCCTATCAAATTACCAATAGCATTTTTCACAGAATTAGAACAAAAAATTTTACAGTTTGTATGGAAACACAAAAGACCCTGAATAGCAAAGCAACCTTGAGAAAGAAAAACGGAGCTGGAGGAATCAGGCTACCTGACTTCAGACTATACTATAAAGCTATAGTCATCAAAACAGTGTTGTACTGGCACAAAAACAGAAATATAGCTCAATGGAACAGGATAGAAAGTCCAGAGATAAACCCACACAGTTGTGGTTACCTAATCTGTGACAAAGGAGTCAAGAACATAGAGTGGAGAAAAGACAGTCTCTTCAATAAGTGGTGCTGTGAAAACTGGACAGCTACATGTAAAAGAATGAAATTAAAACACTCCCTAACACCATACACAAAAATAAACTCAAAATGGGTCAAAGACCTAAATGTAAGACCAGGGACTATAAAAATCTTAGAGGAAAACACAGAATGCTCTCTGACATAAATCACAGCAAGATCGTTTTTGATCCCCCTCCTAGAGTAATGAAAATAAAAACAAAAATAAACAAATGGGACCTAATGAAACTTAAAAGCTTTTGCACAGCGAAGGAAACCATAAACAAAATGAAAAGACAACCCACAGAGTGGGAGAAAGTATTTGCAAATGAAGTGACTGACAAGGGATTAATCTCCAAAATGTACATATAACTCATGCAGCTCAATATCAAAAAAACAAACAATCAAAAAATCGGTGGAAGATCTAAATAGATACTTCTCCAAAGAAGACATACAGATGGCCAACAGGCACACGAAAAGATGCTCAATGTCACTAATTATTAGAGAAATGCAAATCAAAACTACAATGAGGTATCACCTCACACTGGTCAGAATGGCCATCATCAAAAAATCTACAAACAATAAATGCTGGAGAGGTTGTGGAGAAAAGGGAGCCCTCCTACAGTGTTGGTGGGAATGTAAATTGGTACAGCTACTATGAAGAACATTATGGAGTTTCCTTAAAAAGCTGAAAATAGAGCTACCATATGATCCAGTAATCTCACTCCTGGGCATATATCTGGAGAAAACCACAATTCAAAAAGATACATGTACCCCCGTGTTCACTGCAGCACTATTTACAATAGCCAGGACACGGAAGTAACCTAAATGTCCATCAATGGAGGAATGGATAAAGAAGATGTAGTACATATATACAATGGAATATTAGTCATAAAAAAGAACAAAATAATGCCATTTGCAGCAACACAGGTGGACCTAGAGATTCTCATACTGAGTGAAATCAGACAAAAACAAATATCGTATGATATTGCTTATATGCGGAATCTAAAAAAATGATACAAATGAACCTATTTACAAAACAGAAATAGAGTCACAGATGTAGAAAAGAAACTTATGGTTACCAAGGGGGAAAAGAGGAGGGAGGGATAAATGGGGAGATTGGGATTAACATATACACACTCTATATATAAAATAGATAAGTAATATAAGAACCAAATGTATAGCACAGGGAACTCTACTCAATACTCTGTAATGACCTGTATGGAAATAGAATCTAAAAAAGAGTGGATATATGTATATGTATAACTGATTCACTTTGCTGTACAGCAGAAACTAGCACAACATGGGAAATCAACTATACTCGAATAAAAATTAATCAAAAAATTCACATTTTGCTGATATATGATGTGGAGCATCTTTTCAAATGCTTGTTTGCCATCGTTATATCACCTTTGGTGAGGTGTCCATTAAGGTCTTTGGCCCATTTTTTTTTTTTTTTTTTTTTTATATATATTAATTGCAGCTCCTCACCTTTCTTTTTTCTTTTTTTTAAATTTTATTTATTTATTTATTTATGGCTGTGTTGGCTCTTCGTTTCTGTGCGAGGCTTTCTCCAGTTGTGGCAAGTGGGGGCCACTCCTCATCGCGGTGCGCGGGCCTCTCACTATCGCGGCCTCTCTTGTTGCGGAGCACAGGCTCCAGACGCGCAGGCTCAGTAATTATGGCTCACGGGGCTAGTTGCTCCACGGTATGTGAGATCTTCCCAGACCAGGGCTCGAACCCGTGTCCCCTGCATTGGCAGGCAGATTCTCAACCACTGCGCCACCAGGGAAGCCCTTTGGCCCATTTTGAAAATTGGGTTGTTTTCTTATTATTGAGTTTTAAGAGGGTTTTTTGGTATATTTTGGATAACAGTTTTTATCAGAATGTGTCTTTTGCAAATATTTTCTCCCAGTCTGTAGCTTATCTTCTAATTCTCTTGACATTTGTTTTCACAGAGCAAAAGTTTTTAATTTGAATGAAGTCCAGCTTATCAATTAGTTCTTTCATGGGTTTGTCCCTTTGGTCTTAAATTTAAAAAGTCATTGCCATACCCACAGTCATCTATGTTTTCTCCTATGTTATCTCTAGGAGTTTTATAGTTTAGCATTTTACATTTAGGTCTGTAAATCATTTTTTTTTTTTTTTTTTTTTTTTTTTTTGCCATACGTGGGCCTCTCACTGTTGTGGCCTTTCCCGTTGTGGAGCACAGGCTCCGGACGCACAGGCTCAATGGCCATGGCTCACGGGCCCAGCTGCTCCGCGGCATGTGGGATCTTCCTGGACCGGGGCACGAACCCGTGTCCCCTGCATCGGCAGGCGGACTTGCAACCACTGCGCCACCAGGGAAGCCCTGTAATCCATTTTGAGTTAATTTTTGTGAAGGGTGTAATCTCTGTGTCTAAATTTTTTTTTTTGCCTGTGAATGTCCATTTGTTCCAGCACCATTTGTTGAAAAGATTATCTTTGCTCCATTGTATTGCCTTTGCTCCTTTGCCAAAGATCAGTTGACTATATTTATGTGGATCTATTTCTGGGTTCTTTGTTGTGTTCCATTGATTTATTTGTCTGTTCTTTCACCAGTACCTCACTGTCTTGATTATTGTTAAGTCTTCAAGTTGGATAGTGTCAGTCCTCCAACTTTGTACTTCTCCTTCAATATCATATTAGCTATTCTAGGTCTTTTGCCTCTCCATATATCTTTTAGAGTAAGTTTGTTGATATCTCCACAATAACTTGTTGAGATTTTTATTGGAATTACATTGACTGTATAGATCAATTTGGGAAGAACTGACATATTAACGTTATTGAGTCTTCCTCTCCATGAACGTGGAATATCTCTCCACTTATCTAGTTCTTGATTTCATTCATTAGAATTACGTAGTTGTCCTCATATAGATCTTGTACGTGTTTTGTTAGATTTATACCTAAGTATTTCATTTGGGGGGGGGTGCTAATGTAAATGGCATTGTGTTTTTAATTTCAAATTCTGCTTGTTCATTGTTGGCATATAGGAAAGTGATGGACTTTTGTATGTGAACCTTGTATCCTACAAACTTGCCATAATTGCTAATTAATTCCAGGAGTCTTTTTGTTGATTTTTTCAGCTTTTCTACATAGACGATCATGTCATGTGCAAAGATAGACGATCATGTCATGTGCAAAGATAGTTTTATTTCTTCCTTCTCAATCTGTATACCTTTAATTTTCTTTTCTTGTCTAATTATATTAGCAAGGACTTCTAGTACAATGTTGAAAAGGAGTGGTGAGAGGGAACATCCTTGCCTTGTTTCTGACGGTTGAATATCTTTTGACCATCAGTATTATGTAACAGAGCTTTGAGAAACTTCCTTTTACTTTGCAGTTACATATATTTTTATTTTAAAATTGTAAGGTTGTTATTCTGTAGTACAGTATTATCTTCTATATCACCTAGCTACCTCCATGAAACTTAATGATTGTTAGCTGTTTCCCACCTGCATGTCCTCTCTCCTGCTTCCTACTTCCTTCTTCCTTTCTGTTTCCTTTGGTTTCCATCTCTCCAGTCTGTCCTTTCTTCATTCTATTACACTTGGCTGTTTTCATTTCTGGATTATTGGCAAGTTCGCCAGTTAGTTCATATTCAGAAAAAAAGTTGTGAGGGGTCTAAAATCCAAGGGAAGAGCCCATATAGCAGGAAGAGATATAGAAATGATAGAAATGGTTAAATAGAAGGAGGGAAAAAGTAGCTGGAAGTAAAATATAAAGGATGGGAGAAAAGATCATAGAACATAGAGACTACTTGAATAATGATGTGTCAGTGAACTTTAAAGAAGACATTTGTTCATATTTCTTAGACTTTCAGAACCAAGACTAGTTTTGTCAATCATAAAATAAAATCCTATTTTAGAGAACTGGTGCGCTGCGCTCATCCTGCTGTCTCTTGTTCCGCCTGATCCTTTGTGCTCACGTTCTGCCCTGCCATGCCCTGCTCTCAAGAGGCACAAGTCATCTCCCCCAGCAAACGGGCCCGGCCTGCGGAGAAGGGCGGCATGCGGCTCCGCTTTGTCCGGCTTTCGGAGCACGCCACCGCTCCGACCAAGGGGTCCGAGCGCGCCGCGGGCTATGACCTATACAGTGCCTATGATTACACAGTACCACCTATGGAGAAAGCCCTTGTGAAAACAGACATTCAGATAGCTCTTCCTTCTGGGTGCTATGGGAGAGTAGCTCCACGTTCTGGCTTGGCTGCAAAACACTTCATAGATGTAGGAGCTGGTGTCATAGATGAAGATTATAGAGGAAATGTTGGTGTTGTACTGTTTAATTTTGGCAAAGAAAAGTTCGAAGTCAAAAAGGGTGATCGCATTGCACAGCTCATTTGTGAACGGATATTTTACCCAGAAATAGAGGAAGTTCAAGTTTTAGATGACACTGAAAGGGGTTCAGGAGATTTTGGTTCCACTGGAAATAATTAAAATTTATGACAAGAACAGAAAATGAGAAAATATACTTTTTTCCTTGAAAATAAAGGCTTTGCTTAAAAAAAAAAAAAAATCCTATTTTAAACATTAAGAGATATGCCCTACATTAATGTTACTTGCTCACCAGTGTGTCTTCTCATGTGAGCTCAACATGAATGTTTTGAAGGTAAGAATATAGCAAAGACATTAGACAACTGTTCAATATATAAGTGAAAGGACCATTGTAGAAACAGCAAAGAATTTGGACTTCAAAGACAAGTGTTTCTATCCTTGCTCTGCCACTTAATAGCTGTGGACTTCATTTTTCAATGGGACAATATTATTGAGTTATATTTTTTAAAGAGCCCTAACTTTTTTTGAGATACATATTGCATTATTTACAGATAAAATGATATGGTATCTGTGGTTTACTTCAAAATGGTGTGCAAAGGGGAAAGTGGATGGGGGAAGTATAGATGACACAGAGTTCGTTATGAGTTGATAATTGTTAAAGCTGGGGAACAGCTAAGTGGGATTCTTATTATTTATATGTAACAGATATAGTGCATGAGCACTATTTTGTTCACTTTTAAACATGTATATTTTTCATAATAAAAAGTTTAAAAATTCCGGAAGTAACTTTTTTGATCATGATGTGATGGTACAAATAATGTGTAAGATGACCTAGCTGCTTATTTAACTGTAAATTATATGTTCTGTAAGGGTGAGCAGTAATATTTGGAAGTGTTAGTTTTACTATGATAATAAATTTATAGAGGGAAATGTTAATAATGTTTTATGTAGGAATAACCAAGTTTTCTAGTTTGTTTTATGATTGTTTAAAATAAATATATATATTTTTAAATATTTATTTATTTATTTGGCTGCGCCAGGTCTTAGTTGTGGTACGTGGGACCTTCGTTGTGATGTGTGGGATCTTTTAGTTGTGGCATGCAGGATTTTTAGTTGCGGCATGTGGGATCTAGTTCCCTGACCAGGGTTGAAACCCAGGCCCCCTGCACTGGGAGCATGGAGTCTTAGCCGCTGGACCACCAGGGAAGTCCCTGAATATTGGGCTTTAAAAACACAATATAATTGTGTAATTAAGTTTCTTCAATGTGATTTATATGACAAGTGTGTATACTATAAATAATGTGATATCACCAATTAGAAAATGCTATTGATTAATTTAGAAGTGTTGGTTAATTCACCTACCTAAGTTATCTCTACTTAGCACTCAGTAAGTGTTGAATAGATACATGAATATAATAGTTTTGTTTTTATTATTACCAGGAAGAGGAAAAATGTGATGAAATTCTGGAATACTCTGAACCAATTCTGGAGTTTAACAGAAGTGTTAAAGTTGTTTCTACAAAATATAATGGCCCTCCGTTTCCACCAGTTGCTTCTACTTTTCAGCCCACTACTGATGTTCTGGATGAAGTAATTCAGAGAAAAGAAACATTGGAAAATAGCTTAATTCAATGGTGAGTTTACAGTGGTGTTGGGATGAACAGAATTATAGTAGCAAGTATAAATGGAACGTATGAAATTTTGGTTGAAAATCTTCCTTGTCTCCTTTTGTTTATTAAATTTTTCCTTTGCTGTAGTCACTGGACACTATCTGACGTGAGGCTGAGGGTTTAACTAACTGTTGCAAGTATTGTTTCTGTCCTTGAATATTTGTACTGAGGCAGTCTATTATGACAAAAGAGGCTATTGCTGAGTAACAAAGCATTAAAAATGTACAAGTTCTTTAATCCAGTGGTTTATTAACAGAAATTTATCCTAAGGAAATAATCAGTTCTGCTACTAGGCCATAGAATACTTAGCACTTATAGTGCTTACTACAAACAAGGCACTGTTTTGTTTGTTACTTATATAAACTCATAAACTCTACTTTTATACCTATATTTACCTGTGGGAAACCTTAAAGAAGTTATGGAATAAACTAAACAACTGAATATTCATACAGTTATCATGATTGGGTTTAGAAAAATACTTAATGATGTAGAAAGATATTAATAACACTGGGGCATAAATGAAGCAGGGTACTAATGATGCAACCACAGTTTAGAAGAGCTCACTCAAAAATAAATGTGCGTGCGAAAAATATTGAAAAATAATACCAAATTGTTAACTAACTTTGTTTATTCTTGAATCTGGGATTGTGAGTGAGCCTTATTTTTTTTTTTAACTTTTATGCGTTCTCTGATTTTTACAATGAACATCTATTACTTGTATAATAATAATTAAGAAGGCTGTTAGCTTCGCTAAAGAAATGTACAAAAAAGCAGTCTCTTATTGTGTTTCCCTTCCTTTTCCTGTCCTACTTCCCTTCCTAAAAATGACGTTGAAATTTTCTTTCCCTTTTCAGAGGAAAACTACCTGTGTTGCAGTCTATATATTTATTTCCTTGAAGAGAGGGCAGCTGGACTCCTTTTCTAGCTTTGATCTTGTGGGGTTTTATATGTGCTTTCAGAGTAGGGAACCCAACATTTTAGGTGCATGATATGCCAGGTAATCATTGACCTAAACCTTATTTTGAATTTACGAGGGCTGTTGAAGTTTTCATTAGACTGATCAGAAAGATTTTAATTTGATAAACTGTCTCCCACACAGAGATTCGGTTTGTTTTTCTAGGAGATATATTGGAAGTTTTTCTTCTTTCCAGATTCAACTTTCAGAATGACTGCTTTCACATTTAAATGTTTGTGTCCATGGGTACCAGTTATTTTTTTTAATTTATTTTTTTATTTTTTTATTTTTGCGGTACGTGGGCCTCTCACTGTGTGGGCTCTCCCGTTGTGGAGCACAGGCTCCGGACGTGCAGGCTCAGTGGCCATGGCTCACGGGCCCAGCTGCTCCACGGCACATGGGATCTTCCCGGACTGGGGCACGAACCCGTGTCCCCTGCATTGGCAGGCGGACTCTCAACCACTGGGCCACCAGGGAAGCCCGGTACCAGTTATTTTTAAGGGTGTTATTTCTAACCACTATACATTTCAACTAAATTTAGGAATCCTTAACTTTTTTCCCCCAGGGTAGAACAAGAAATAATGTCAAGAATGATCTCTGGGCTTCTTCCAGTCCAACAGCAGGCCACAGCTGACATCAGTGTCTCAGTCAGTGAGGCCAGTGAGCCATTGACTTCTGACATTGGTAAGTGAAATGGAATCTTTTAGCTTTTTTTGTTATTATAAGACAAAACCTTCAGGTTGTTGTGGATTTATATATTCTAGAGGTCACATAGTCCTTGGTTGACAAAAGATAAAAGTCCTCTTCTTTTCAACGTCACTTCCCAGTTTTCTGTAGTGGAAGTTATTTCTCCCTCAGTCCCTTATTACATACTGCAGCATTCAGATTATGCTATCAGCGTCCATCCCTCCTACCCCCAATCTCTCCATTCTTTCCCATAGCACTTTGTGTGTGTTTGTTTGTGTGTCTGTGTATCTTTTTTTTTTTTTTTTTTTGCGGTACGCGGCCCCCTCACTGTTGTATCCTCTCCCGTTGCGGAGCACAGGCTCCGGACACGCAGGCTCAGCAGCCATGGCTCACGGGCCCAGCCGCTCCGCGGCATGTGGGATGTTCCCGGACCGGGGCACGAACCCGTGTCCTCTGCATCAGCAGGCAGACTCTCAACCACTGCGCCACCAGGGAGGCCCCTGTGTCTGTGTACCTTTGTTATAGTAATCATCAAACTGTATTATGATTGGCTTGCATATCTGTCTCACTCACTAGACTATAAATTACTCACAAGTAAGCGTGATTCTCCTTTAGAGCCTAGCCCTTGACTGACACCTAAGAAGAGTTTAAGTATTCCCTGAATGGATAGAGCCTCTTTCTTTAGGGAGCCCACACCATTCACCTCTTCTTCCTCCTTCCTCTTCCTCTTTTCTCCCTCCTTCTTCCTCCTTTTCATCCTCCTCTCCTTCCCTCTTCTTCCCCCTCTTTCTCCATTAGCTTTTTGAGGCATAATTTACTTGCCGTAAAATTCACGAATGCTAAGTGTACCGTTTGACAAGTTTTGTTAAACAAACACAACCACGTGTTAGCCACACAGTCATGTTATAGAAAAACATTTCCATCATCCCCAACAGTCCCCTCTTGCCACTTTGCAGTCAATCCCTAACCCCCTCCCATGCCTACTACACCCTAACAACCACTGATCTACTTTCTATCATTGAATTTTGCCTTTTCTAGAATTTCATACTTATGTAATCATACAGTATTTAGTCTTTTGTGTCTGGTTTCTTTTATTTAGCATAATGCTTTGACAGTCATGTTGTTGCATATAGTAATAAATATTACACTCCATGTATGTACCATAATTTGTTAATCCAGTTACCCGTTGATGGACATTTGTAGTCTTAGTTTTTGACTATTATAAATACAGCTGTGCTATGTATATTTGCAAACTAATCTTTCACATACATCTTTTAATTTCTCTTGGTCATATGGTAAGTAGATATCTAACTTTATAGGAAACCGCTAAATGTTTCCAAAGTGGCTGTTCTATTTTGCATTCCAACCAGCAGTGAATGAGAGTTCCAGCTGCTCCACATCCTTACTAATGCTTGTTGTCAATGTTTTTAATTATAGTCATTCACTAAGCATGTGGAGATATCTCATCGGGGTTTTGTTTGCATTTCCCCAGTAACTAATGATGTTGTACAATTTTTCTTGTGCTTATTTGTCATTTGTATATTTACTTTGATGAAGTATCTTTAAAACTCTTTTGCTCAGTTTTTAACTGGGGTCTATGTCTTACTATTATTGAGTTCTTTATTCTGGATACAAGTCCTTTATTGCATATGTTTTGCAATGTGTTATCCTAGTTTTTATCTTACCTTTTGCTTTCTCAGCATTGTCTTTTGAAGACCAGAGATTAATTTTGATGAAGTTTAATTTATCAATTTTTCTTTTATAGCTTGTGATTTTGGGGGTATACTGTTTAAGAAATCTTTGCCCAACATCATTAAGATTTTCTCCTGTGTTTTCTTATAGAAACCTTATAGTTTTAGATTATAAATTTAGGTCTATGGTGTGTTTTGAGTTAATTTTTATATGTAGAGTGAAGTAAAGATCAAGATTTTTTTTTGTGTGTATGGATATCCAATTTTTCTAGCGTTATTTGTTGAAAAGATTATCCTTCCTCCTGCTGAATTGCCTTGACACCTTTGTTGGAAATCATCTGGCTATTATATATGTTTGGATCTGTTTCTGGACTTGCTGTTTGGTCCCATTGATCTACAAGTCTGTCTTTACATCAACACTGGGCTTCTTGATTATTGTAACTTAAAAATAAGTCTTGAAATTGGATGGTATAAGTTCTCCAGCTTTCTAGCTCTTTTTTTTTTTTAACATTCCTATATATCGTTACCTCTATTTTTTTTCCACTTCTTTCCAGTCCAGAATAACCTCCTCTTCCTCCTTCTTAAACTACCCCTTAACTGCCTAAATCCTAGACATTAGAGTCTGTATTTACTGCTTTACTTTCTCATTTCTCACTTTCTCTTTAGTTTTTATGAGCTGGCTTTCTTCTTCTCGTTAATGAAATTCCTCTCTTACAGCATTTGGTTCTCAGAGATAACCTTTTTTCAAATCCTTATTCTCCTAGAAGGCTCTAGTATGGGCATTGTTGACTACCTCTAATTATTAAAATGTTCTACTGGTTTTGGTTTCTTAGAATTCATTCTATTGTTCTTCCCCTTATCTTTTTAATTTCTTTAGGACCTCATTTCCTCATCTTTTTTCTACTTGAATAAAAAATTTCCCCTAAGCTTCTGTCCCCTGCCCTCTTTCTTTTCTGTTTTTCTAGTCTCTTCTTGGCGATAGTTATCCTGTGTCAGTTGATGACCCCTAAGCTACACATTTAGGCTGTAAACTTGCAGTTTTGCCTGTTGATGAATATTTTACTTGATGCTTCACTGGCATACCAAACTTGGTGTGTCCAGAATGCATCTCATTTTTCTAACCAACCTTATTCCTCCTTTGTTGCTCTTTCTGTTAATGATACCACTATTTTCCAAGTGCCCAGTTTCCAAAGCCTTGGAATATCACTTGTTCTACTTTGTTTTCTTTGGTCTTCCTCAGTCCACACCCAGCCACGTCCAATGTCCTGGCTCCATGCAATTTATTCTTATATTTGATTAATTCTTCCTATTTAGTATAACTCAAATGCCTCTTCCACTGCTACTATCCCAGGTTTTCTTTCATCTTCTCATTTTTTGAAGGAAGGAATAAAATGACCAACAAAGTTATGAGGAAATTTTTTTTACTTAAGATTAGTGCTTCTTTAATGATAAAATCATTTTGTCATGTTAGAAGATACTTTTTCAGAAGAAGACATCTAGGAATACAAATCCAAGAGAAAACCAAAACCAGTTCATACAAATAATTGCTCTGAGACTATTTCAAAATCTGTTGAAAAAGGAACAGATGGAAAATACCAAGTGAAACTGGAATAAAAAAGGACTGGAAGCTAAAAAGGCAAAGGACCATGAAATATGCCTTGGAGAAACAGATAGTCGGACTTCTGTAGCTTTTGGTCAAAATTCTTGTTGTGGAGATGGTATTCAGCAGTCCCAAGACAAGGAGACCAGTCCAGGAAAACAAACAAGTGTCTCCAAAGATTTGTCCGGTTTATGATGGATACTGTCCAAACTGCCAGATGCTTTCTTCATTGCTAGGTCATACACCTCGATGGCATATTTTGGAGTGCTTGGACTCTCCACCAGTCTCTCCTGCTAGCGCAAATCAGGGCTAGTGATAGTCCTCTTAGCAGTCCTTCACATGGGTCGGGTGGTGGTTTCAGTGAGACTAATTCAGGCTTTGTAGCCTTAAGGAAAGATGGTCTAATATAGAGGGTATTTAGATCCTGTTCCCTTTTCTTTAAAAGCATGTGTGTTTGCTTTTGTTTTGCCTATGTCTGGGTAGGACTTTTGGGTTTTATAACAGAGATATTCTGATTTTTGGTCATGCCAAAACAATGAATTATGGGAACTAAAAATGGAGATGTGTTGATATATACTGTTGAATATAAATTTGGGATTGTGATAGTCTTTGCTATGGAGCTCCAGAGTAAATTGCTATTACTTATCTCTCAACAAGTGATCCCAAGACACCTGTACCTACCTATTAGGGAATTCTCTGTAATGCTGCCATAGTTGTACTAATTAAGGAGTACTCTTTGGAGAGGTCATGTCTCCATCAAGTTTTATAGATCACTGTTTACATGTGTTCCACACAGTGCTTTAGAAATATAACCACTTTAAGCCTAATAAAGTCTGTTTAGGAAATTTTACTGAATTTCATGTACATTCACACAAGTGAAAAGTACAACCCATTTGGAAAATTAATATACTATAGAGCTGCTGACATCAAGCACCTAAACTACTCTAAAAGTTTGAGGAGGATTAGCCTGTAATGTTAGTAACTGAAGTACCTGAAACTAGACGGAAGTAAGATTTGTCTTCATATTTATGAAGAAGCTGCCATTTCTCTAAAATCCCCCCACAGTCATTGTGTCCCTGTGTTTTGCCACGATCTATCACAGTGTTTCCTGGTGCCCTACTCTTGGAAATGTGGATTGTTTTCAGATGAAAACATTTAATGTGGATACAAATCTTTTTTTGTGGGGGGGGGGGGGGGGGGCGTGCTGAGCGGCATGCAGGATCTTAGTTCCCTGACCAGGGATTCAACCCGTGCCCCCTGCAGTGGGAGCATGGAATCTTAACCACTGCACCACCAGGGAAGTCCCTGCAAATCCTTTTTATCACTAAATGTTGTAGTGGTAGGGAAGAGGCCATATAAGTAAATTTTCATCTAGATGTTTTCCTCCCCTTTTTAGTTTGTTTAGAGAGGATGTTCATTATGTGAGTTACCATCTTATTCTCTGTCACAATAAGTAGATTTTGTATTTTCATTTTATTCCTCCTCACACCATCTCATACACATATGTTCACATCTCTAAAATTTTAAGAATTAAGGCTTAGAATGCAAGCATGTTTCCTGCACACTTACTCTGAAATTCTTTCATTTTTTTAGTGGAAGGAACCAGCAGTGGTGCCCTCCAGCTTTTTGTTGATGCCGGTGTTCCTGTGAATTCAGACATTATTAGGCATTTTGTGAATGAAGCTCTTGCTGAAACCATTGCCATCTTGCTGGGTGACAGAGAAGCAAAGAAGCCAGGTCCTGTTGTTACAAGTGTTTCTGGGGATGTTTCAATAAGCAAAACACACTTGCTGGTAAGTGTGACTTTCCTTCATGACTTGGAGCCCTGGGGAATTTTTGATACCTTTGTTAAAGAACAGTAAAATGGACAGATTTTAAATTGGGTCATAAGACCATAGTTTGTGGTGGAGATTGGTTTCTTGTGGCTTTGATTACAATAACAATTCCTCCAGCATTTTATTTTAAAAACTTTAAAATCTATAGAAAGTTGAAAGTATGATACAATGAACATCTGTGTAAGCTTTACCTACATTTACCAGCTGATAACATTTCGACACATTTTCTTTATCTGTCTTTATATGTTGTTTATTATATATGCTTTAAAACTCATTTGAAAGTTGCAGATATCATGACACTTCTAAAAGCATCAGTAGTATCTCCTAAGAACAAGATTCTTTATTACATAACCAAAATACCATTATTATGCTCTCCATATTTAACATGGATCTGTTAATACTATATAATATAGAGTCTATATTTGAATTTCCCCAGTTGTTCCAAGAATATCCTTATAGCTAATTCTTTTAAAATTCAAGATATAGCTAAAAATCACATGTACTGCTTTTGGTTCTTATGTAAAGTGATATTTTTAATCTTTAAAAGAAAGTATATTTCAGACATTTTTGTTATTGTTTGTTTAATCAGCCTTTCTATGTTAAATAGAGTTTCTAATTTATTATAGCAACATGAAATTATACAAAACCACTACCAGTGGAGGGTGGGAGGAGCAATATAGGGGTGGGGCAGTGGAAAGTGCAAACCATTGGCTGTAAGATAGGCTCAAGGATGTACTGTACAACACAGGGAGTAGAGCCAATATTTTGTAATAAATGTAAATGGAATGTAACCTTTAAAAACTGTATGAAAATTTTAAAAAACTAAAAAGAAAAAGAAATTATACAAAACCAGAATGTACTCTGTATTACCAACTGTTTAAAACTTAATGGTCAATTCTGATCCTGTTGATCATAAAAACATCATTTTATATAGGTGAAACATTTAAACTGACTCATCTGAGGTATATAAACGTAAAGTTACATGTTTGAATTCTACGGAGATTGGTGTAATGTAATTGGTGTCGTGTGATTAGTGTGCCAGAGATTTGGTACATACTTTTGTTCTGTGCTTTATTTATTAGCTCATTAGTAATGCATGCCAATATCAGAATTGTGGTTATCTCTATGCTAATTAACTTTGGTTTGTCTTCTGCCCATATATTTCGGATATTTTCATAAGGGTGATTTAATGAGAAAATACAGAAAAATCAGTATAAATAGGAAATAAATGTAATTGTTGAGAGCATGGACTCTGGAGTTGGGAAGTTCTGAATATGAACCCTCAGCTCTGTTACTTTAGTCTTATCTGTATACTAGAGATAAAATACTCAGAGTTTAAATGATGACGGCTTTACCAAAATCTGCTTTCCAAATATTAAGGAGGCCAAGTTCCCCTCCCCCATTGCCATATTGTTCCTTATCTTCAGAATTGCCATGGCTTTTTTTGGCCTTTTCATCTTTGATATATGTTTTAAAATTAATTTTCAAGTTCTGTAAAATATTTTGTTGGGATTTGGGGGGGAATTAATTCAATTTTGATTGGTTTAATTTGAGGAGAATTGACATCTTTATGATACTGTATCTTGTGAGCCATCATAGAAGATTTTGTGGAAGATTCAATAAGATGGTATATAAAAGAGCTTAATCTAGGGCCTGGAACTTGGTAAATACTCAGTAACTCATTGTTTATCATTATTACCCATTACCAAGACTAGTAGGATACCTTTAAATCCTCTCATGATGATGAGTCAGTAGCATTATATTTGAAAACAACTGTCTTAGGCTATAGGTTTATGCAGTCAAGAAGAATAAAACATAGTATATTTCTATCACTTAAAAAACAAAGCTAAGAATATGCTAATAATTAAGCAATGCTATAGAATTTCTGATATGCTTCATAATTTTTAAATTGTGTATCTCTTTGCAACTCATAATACAGAATAAAGGCCAGTCACCCCACTATAAAAATATGTTTTAGAAAGAGAAAAAAAGGACAAATAGAGAAATGGGGAAAAGACATGTCCAGACAGTTCACACACAAAAAGGAAATACAAATGGCCCACATACATACAAAAAGATGGTCAGTCTCACTGATAGTGAGAAAAAAAAATCATTGAATCCATTTTTACTGATCAAATTGGTAACACTCTAAAAGTTTGATTAACACCATGGTTCAGCAAATCTTTGGGAATTGGGAATTCTCATACCTTCTGGTGTTATTGCATTGATAAAATAATATAACCGTGTAGAAGGAAATTTGGTAATATGTATTCAAATTAAGAATGCAATTAGCCCTTTAACCAAGCAGTCTCACTTCTGGGAATTTATTCTATAGAAAATCTATACACATATGAAATGACTTAAGTCTCAAAAAACTAAAAATAGAATTACCATGTGACCCAGCAGTCCCACTGCTGGGTATATATCCAAAAAAACCAAAGACACTAATTTGAAAAGATACATGCACCCCAACGTTCACAGCAGCATTACTTACAATTACCAGGTTATAGGAGCAACCTAAGTGTCCATCAGCAGACGAATGGATAAAGAAGATGTGGTGTGTACACACACACACACACACACACACACACACACACACACACACACACA